AATTGGACAAGGTGTGTGTTCTACTGGCGGCCATTACGCATGACATTGGTCATGCCGGAGTCAGCAATCCTTTCCTCAAGGCTACCAACAATGTAGTGGCCAGCTTGTACATGGACTCGTAAGTAGTGCTCAATTCCTAGCCCAGTCTTGCATGTCCTGAGGGAGTCTCACCTTAAAGTTGTCTATCAATCTTACACCACGACGTATTGCTATTGTCCCTTCAAGTATACGCTAACAGAAAGCACTATGAACATTGCCTTTACATAACATAACATTACACACAAATCAGTCTGTACTGGAATGTAGATGAGCATAATGAATGCCTAAGACTATAGAGCATCAAAGCAAACCCAACGCTGCAGACAACGTGCTGTTTTGACTAGTATTGCCACTAAAATTCCATTCCTCGTGTTGTTGCTGTTCGGACCCGAGGAATTAGGTAGAATCAAGACCATTCTCATGTGTTTATCAGCTCCTGCTCTCTGTTTGCTGCTGCTGCTGCGGCTGCTGCTGCTGCTGCTGCCATTCCTGCTGTGGTTGTTCTTTTAGTTCAGTCATGGAGAACTACCATTGTAGTCTGTTCTGGGAACTGTCCGTCAAGTACACCAAGTCTAACATCTTCCAAGGAATTGAGGCGTAAGTTGACAATACCCTTTGCAGTGGGAGAGTGGATTTGTGCGCGCGTGGGTGTGTGGTTGAGTGAGTGTATGTATGGGTATGTATGGTACATGGTATGCTGATGCTTGGGGCTGTACATGTTCTATCATGTATTGATGCTGGTGTACTTGTTGTGTTTGTGTGTTGTGTAGGGATAAGATGGCGTACGGTACAGACAACCGGAAAATGTGAGTTGCTGGTAGCTGATAGTTGCTGGTAGCTGATAGTTGCTAGCAGCTTTCCAGAATAGTGCAGTGTGCTGTTGGCCAGCCCACTACTGTTGCACATCGCCATCCCTACAGCCTCTCACAACTTTCTCTCACGACTTACAAAACTATTTGACTACAGCATCTTTTATAGCTCTGAGCACGGAGAAGAGGACATATTTTCGACGGCTCTCCCTCGCTCTGTCTCTATCTATCTAGCTCTGCCTCTCTCTCTTTCTCTCTCTCTCTCTCTCTCTCTCTCTCTCTTTCTCTTTCTCTCTCTCATAAATGTAACTTTCTCTCTCTCTCTCTCTCTCATTCTCTCTCTCTCTCTCTCTCTCTCTCTCTCTCTCTCTCTCTCTCTCTCTCTCTCTCTCTCTCTCTCTCTCTCGCTCTCTCTCTCTCTCTCTCTCTCTCTCTCTCACTCTCTCTTTCTCTCTTTCTCTTTCTCACATTTCTTTTGGACTCCATTTGATGTGCACATTGTCTACAGGAGCACGCGATCTGTCATGCAGATTCGCATCCGTGAGCTCATCCTTGCTACAGATATGTTCAACAATGACAGGATAGTGAAGATGTTCAATGCAAGACCTAATCTAGATGCAGTGGTGAAGATTGTGGTAAGTTTTACTCTGGCTATGACTCTGTGCAGGTATGATCTCAGTGCTACGTGACACGTCTTCTTTTGGAGCTCTCTCTCTCCTCTCCTCTCCCCTCCTCCTTCTTTCCATTTTGTACGAAGTGAAGTGAAATTGAAGCACATTTGTTTGAATATTTGGGATGTGTTTTCAGCATGTTTTCTTTGGTCTACCGCTGCTTCCGCTGCTGCTCTCGACATTGATGATCTCTCCATTGCCACTGCTTCCTTCATGACCCCTGTTCCTGCTGTTGCTGTTGTTGCTCTTGTTGTTGCTGTTGCTGATGCTGCTGTGTGGCTGCGGTGTGGCTGCTGTTGCTGCTGCTGTTGTTGTTGTTGCTGTTGTTGATGCTGTTGTTGTTGCTGTTGTTGTTGCTGTTGTTGTTGCTGTTGTTGTTGCTGTTGTTGTTGCTGTGTTGTTGCTGTGTTGTTGCTGCTGCTGCTGTTGCTGTTGCTTTGGTTGCTACTGTCGTGCACATTTCAGCCACCCGGTACAGTTGAGGAGGCTAGTGCCGCCGTGGCTCGACTGGAGAGTACTGAGCTACTATTAAGCATGGTGCTGAAGGCAGCTGATGTCTGCAATCCAGCCAGGCCCGTTTCTATTGGGAAACCGTGGAGTTTGCGCATCGCCGAGGAGTTTGTACTACAGGTGGGTAGTGTGAGGTACCTCACCCCAAACGCTTAGCCACTGTCTGTCATCTATCAATACAGTCAACTTCGCTTATAACGACACTCGGCGGGGCATCAGAAAATTGTCCTTATTCGCGAAGTGTCGTTATACCCGAAGTTTCATTATATGTGTCACAGTTGGATGGGACTTTGCTCCGGGCATGAAAAATATGTCGTTATTCACGAATTGTCGTTATATCCGCAGTCGTTATAAGCCAAGTTGACTGTATTTCCACGGAAAGAACAGTTTCATCAAGGAGAAAGGTGCACGGGTTGACATAGGTTGGTGCCTGTCACGACTCATTCTCAGAATGACGTAATGTTCATGATGTCATCGGCTTTATGCATGCAACACATTTGAGACGAGAAGCCAAACATACACGTGTGCGTGTGTGTGTGTTCAATCAAGTGCAGTGACATGACATGACATGTGTGACATGCGTGTGATACATGTATGGAATATATCATGGAAGTGTGGCATTGGTTTGAAACAGCCTTGTTCTTGTTTGTTGTTGCTTTCTTGTTCAGAGTGACCTTGAAGAGAAGCTTAATGTGTCCAGTGTGTTGCCTGTGTTTACTCGCAAGACGTACAACCTACCCGATTCTCAGGTTAGTGTGGGCTGCAATAGTGATCCAGCTTGATGCCATGTCCTGTAGTTGCTGTTGTTGCTGCTGCTGTCGTTGCTGCTGCTGTTGTTGTTGCTGCTGTTGTTGCTGCTGCTGTTGTTGCTGCTGCTGCTGTCGCTGCTGCTGCTGTTGTTGCTGCTGCTGTCGTTGCTGCTGTTGTTGCTGCTGTTGTTGCTGCTGCTGTTGCTGCTGCTGCTGTTGCTGCTGCTGCTGTCGTTGCTGCTGTTGTTGTTGTTGTTGCTGCTGCTGTCGTTGCTGCTGCTGTCGTTGCTGCTGTTGTTGCTGCTGCTGTTGCTGCTGCTGCTGTCGTTGCTGCTGTTGTTGCTGCTGCCGTTGCTGCTGCTGCTGTCGTTGCTACTGCTGTCGTTGCTGCTGCTGTCGTTGCTGCTGCTGTCGTTGCTGCTGTTGTTGCTGCTGCTGCTGCTGCTGTTGTTGCTGCTGCTGTCGTTGCTGCTGCTGTCGTTGCTGCTGCTGTCGTTGCTGCTGTTGTTGCTGCTGCCTTGCCGCTGCTGCTGTCGTTGCTGCTGCTGTTGTTGCTGCTGCTGGTGTTGTTGCTGCTGCTGCTGCTGCCGTTGCTGCTGCTGCTGCTGCCGTTGCTGCTGCTGCTGTTGCTGCTGCTGCTGTCGTTGCTGCTGCTGTCGTTGCTGCTGCTGTCGTTGCTGCTGCTGTCGTTGCTGCTGCTGTCGTTGCTGCTGCTGTCGTTGCTGCTGCTGTCGCTGCTGCTGTTGTTGCTGCTGCTGTTGCTGTCGTTGCTGCTGCTGTTGCTGTCGTTGCTGCTGCTGTTGCTGTCGTTGCTGCTGCTGCTGGTGTTGTTGCTGCTGCTGCTGCCGTTGCTGCTGCTGTTGTTGCTGCTGCTGCCGTTGCTGCTGCTGGTGTTGTTGCTGCTGCTGCTGCTGTCGTTGCTGCTGCTGTTGTTGCTGCTGCTGTCGTTGCTGCTGTTGCTGCTGTTGCTGCTGCTGTTGCTGTCGTTGCTGCTGCTGTTGCTGTCGTTGCTGCTGCTGTTGCTGTCGTTGCTGCTGCTGCTGTTGTTGCTGCTGCTGCTGTCGTTGCTGCTGCCATTGCTGCTGTTGTTGCTGCTGTTGTTGCTGCTGCTTCTGCTGCTGCTGGTACTGCTGCTGCCATTGCTGTTGCTGCTGCTATTACTGCTGTTGCTGGTACTGCTGCTGTTGTTGCTGCTTCTGTTCCTGCTGTTACTGCTGCTGTCGTTGCTGCTGCTGCTGCCATTGCTGTTGGTGTTGCTGCTGCTTCTGCTGCTGCTGTTACTGCTGCTGCCATTGCTGTTGCTGCTGCTATTACTGCTGCTGCCATTGCTGTTGCTGTTACTGCTGCTGTCGTTGCTGCTGCTGCAATTGCTGCTGGTGTTGCTGCTGCTGCTGTTACTGCTGCTGCCATTGCTGTTGCTGCTGCTGTCGTTGCTGCTGGTGTTGCTGTTGCTGCTGTTACTGCTGCCATTGCTGTTACTACTGCTGCCATTGCTGCTGCTGCTGTTCTTAGTACGCAGGCTTCTTTCGTTACGACTGCTGTTGTTGCAGCTGCGTACTTATCAATGCTTATTACGGCATTCGGTCCTTCAGTTTTGGTTCTGGCACCGTTTTCATCAAGTTGTTGTTCTTCTATGGATGTTGTTGTTGTTCATTGTGTATGTTTTCAGGTCAAGTTCATACAGTTCATTGTGGTTCCCATCTACAGAGCACTGGGATGTAAGTAGACCAACAATCAACCTGCACGTTATTAGAGAGGTGCACGCTGCACGTTATTTTTGACGTGACGAGCAATTTCACGTCAATTTTTGGCGTAAAACTCCAAATTTCGACGTGAGCTGCATGTCTTTCCAAAGCGCGAGCCAAATAACACGAGCTGAACTTTCGCGTCACGTCAAAAATAACATGCAGCTTTAAAATAACCTCTCTATTATCCCCTCTGTGACATCATCGCTTGTGCTTTTCATTATAATTATGAGCTTCAGGCTGAGAAAAAGGTGCTATTGTCCTCATGTGCACAACTGAGAAAAGGGTACTTGAAAGCAGGGTACTCACTTTCGCGCTGTAAAAGTTGCCTTCACATCTGTGGCCGTAACTTTGTGTTACTGTAAAAGCAGAAATTTTCGGTGGTGTTTTATTTTCGGTAACTTCGGTGCCGAAATTTTTACCGAAAATAAAACGCACCGAAAATGTCGGTATAGTATTAGTACACTTACTTCGAAGTACCTGGAACGCGGGTTTACCGAAAATTTCCCTCCGCCGAACCACCGATTTTGGAGAATACCGAAAATATTACACCACCGAAAATTTCTGCTTTTACAGTACTTCTAGATTTTTCAACACGGTTTTCTGCATATGAATCAGTGGGACTTGTAGTTTTAGGTACGCTATCTAACTCAATTTGACCGGAAAAATGACAATTGCACCCTTTTCTCAGCCTGAGGCTCATTTTACTTTGAATGATGAAAACACCTCTTTAAAGGCTATTCATACTACGTTACACTACGCGTCACGTTTTGGAATACGACGTACTGGCAGACGTCGTTTTCATGCAGGTGCATTCACACAGGCACGTATACGCTGCTCGTACAGCTGTGTGTACAGCTTCTTTCGGACACAAACTGCGAGGCACGACAGAACGAAACTCGGTACAGGGGTCTGTATACGTCGTCTACGTTTTCGTATCAGGTGCACTATTTTCCCGCCACGTTCCATGTTGTCATGGCTATCCAGACGAAAACGTCACGTACGCAACGTTTTGGGCGTAGTGCGAATGGCCCATTAGCTGGGCAATAGGGTAGTATTGGATTGAAGTACACTGAATTACAGTAGAGTCGCGCGCTGAAGAACGTGGAGCCCAAGAACATCCAGCCTGAAATACTAAGAATGCCACAGCTTAAAGTTGAGAACGGCGGTGCTGATTTTCCGGCAGCTTTTGGGATACATCTGATCCAGTACAAATTGTTTCTAAGAACGTGCTATAAGAACGCAGCCAGTTTGAATATAAGAGCGTCCCAGGCTAACCCCTTGGACAGAACGTTCTTGGACGTGTTACTCTACTGTGATAGTGTACTGCACTGCTCTCCGTTTTGTTTCTTGTTGCTGTCCACGTAGTCCTTGCTGCTGGTTACTGCTGCCAGTGATGCTGCTGATGCTGCTGCTACTACTGTCAGTGATTCTGTTGCTGTTGCTGCTACTGCTGTCAGTGATTCTGTTGCTGCTGTTGCTGCTACTGCTGCCCAGACAACTGTTGCTGCTGCTGCTACTACTGATGCTCAGACAACTGCTGCTGCCAGTGATGCTGCTGATACTAATGGCAGTGTTTTTGTTCTTGTGGTTGCTGTTGTTGCACTGCAGCTTACCTTCCGCTTAGTGATGTGAGCGGCATACTGACTGAGAATGAAACCTACTGGCGAGGAGAACACAAAGAAGATTACCCGCCAGTCAAGCCTAGAGAGTAAGTGCGGCCAGTACAATGTCTGTGGCACTACAGTGCAACTCAGAACAATGTCTGTATTACTGGAGTGCAACTCACTTAGGGCCGGGTTCCACTGCGGCTCCGCTGCTCGCCTTTCGCGGCTTGAAACGTCATCATTACCATAGTGACCGCGGCTCGAGCTGGAGCAGCGAGGCCGCAGCTCACCGCGAGCTTTCGCTACGATTCTTGACCAAAGAGTGCGAGCCGCGGTCGCGGCTCGACCTGTTTCCCGTACTTTGCATTGTTCTGCACGCCAGAATTTTAAAATTCAAATTTTAATTCGTTGCGCAGGCCAGAACACGAAGATTTTTTTGATTTCGCACGCACGCAGGTAAAATGTCAGCAAAAAGTGTGGAGCACGACCGCGGTACCGCGAATGGCGAGTGTCAGTCGAACTGCGCTGCTCCGCTGCATGCAGCCAAGTGCCGCGGAGCAGCGGAGCCGCAGTGGAACCCGGCCCTAACTCTAAGACCAGTAATGTTAACGAACATTTAATTTGAAACTCGGATGTTGAGCCAATAATAAATGTAGAAAGGAAAAGGACATATGGATACGAGTAACTGTCCACCACTGTAACATTTGAAGTCGTTAAGTACTAACCGATATGTACATGTACAGTCATTTGCCAGTTTTGAGACAGAATTCGTTAGAATTTCACCTCGCCAGCCCACGAAATTTCGGAGATCGTTAACTTTAATTGACACTAAAACATCTGGTTTTACAGTAGTACACACGCTGATAAGACGTACTCTTGCTTTGTACTGAGATTGTCCGGAGTACCGGTGTGTTACTCCGTACTGACGTATGTTTGGACATGAAGTTTTAGTTTGGATACTAAGTATCCGACTCTATACACATGGGTGTAGTACTGTCTGTTGTTGCCTGCTACATTTTTCGCATCCTTTCTTGCAACGCTTGAACAGAGTTTGATGATGTGCTGTGCGTGCGTACATATGTGTGTCTGTCTGTCTGTGTGCGTGTGTGTGTGTACGTGTGCGGTGTGTGCGGTTATTGCTGTGATGTGCTGTCTCCAGTATGAAGTGGAATCCGGACGTGTTCAACATCAAGGAGTTCATGAGAGGCGGCTCACCCTGGTCACCTACACCCACCTCCGTCCTCAGCAATGTATCATTCCACCCGCTGGAGATGGCGGGGAAAATGGGCAACGCTAGTCATGACGCTGCGAAAAGCCGAGTGTCGAGTATGCTTCTGGTTCGCACTGGAGTGTCAGGCACGGAGGAAGTTGCCACGGCACCTCAGAGCACGACCTCTGGCCTGGACAGCTCAGTTAGCGGCAAAGAAGGCGCTACTATTGCTGTTTCTAGCACCGCAGCCGTGATCAGCACTCCAGTTTAAGAAATTTGTTATACAATGCCGTCCACACCTGCACGGACGCCTCAACTCCCAAGTTGAGTTTGTCACGGCCGTGTTACCCGTGAACACTCATCCAGTGACCAAGGTTGTTAAGATTCCCATGGTCAACGTGGTCAGACAACCCATTGCGCGGAGTACACCGGGTGTGGCTACTGACACGGTACTGCTCCAAACCAGTAGCTGAGCGTTGTCACTCTAGTCGTGTCGCCCAGTATGAACCACAGTTCTCTGCATGTACCGCATCTGGTTTTCGGCATGAACAATCCTGTTCTCGGCATGAACCATCAGGTTTTCGGCATGAACAATCCGGTTTTCGGCATGAACAATCCGGTTTTCGGCATGAACCATCCGGTTTTCGGTGTCTTTGTGCGTGCTCTGTGCGTGCTCAATCAGTCAGTGTGCTGCCGCTGCTACGTACACAGTCGCTCTTTGCTTATATGGGTGCAAGCAAGACGTCGTCATGGTGGTGAGATCATACGTATGTCACATTGGATTTCCTTACCATTTTCGTCATGCGCTACGGACTTCGCCCGAACTCTGGTGTGTGTGTCCGTGCGTGTGTCCGTGCTTGCCTAGAAGATCTGGATAGTGGTGAACTACAAGTACTTGCCCTTGCTTCAAACATGCTCAGAGTACTGCATCCCAACTGGCTGTCAGCCATGACTGGACCATTGTTCATCAGGGCTTGCCCTGGCTGCCGCAGTGTGGATTGATATGCCTTGGCCACTGTACTGCTGGTCAACTATATTCCTCTAGCAATACTGCAGAGACAAGTTTTAAATATTCTTTATCAACGTTGTTCGAGAGCAACGCACCAAATTACGGCGTTGTGAGACCGTTCATTTTCAGACTGATTTCTGCTTTCTGTCCAGTATCGGTACTATTGCTGGACTGGTATTTTGTTCTTGTTCTTCTTGCACGGTACAGACGTGCATGTGATATTTATAGTATTCTAAACGTTACTCATCTCTAGATCCTATCCATATTTTCTCTCTCTCCTGTCTCTCTCTCTCTCTCTCTCTCTCTTTCTCTCTCTCTCTCTCTCTCTCTCTCTCTCTCTCTCTCTCTCTCTCTCTCTCTCTCTCTCCTCAGTCTCCCTGTAGGGAAATATGTCTTTGTAAAGAGTAGTGATGACCCCCTGGCTGGTGACATGGTGTAGGTGATCCTCTTGTAAGTTCTTCTTGAAATCATAGCTACGTCAAAGCACCAGTAGCCGCTCTACGCTTTGCGGCCATGCTCAATATTTTTATCGTGTAGTCTTTGCCTATTTCTGTTCTTTCTTTCCTATCGTCATCGGTGATCTTTGTCGAATGCGGCTCAGTCGTTATATTCAGACTGGAACGCGTGATAGATTTCGCCTTCTTTGATTTTTTTCTGCGTGTGTTTGAGAGAATGTATCAACAGAGATTCCATCATTTTCTCTTTCTTTTAAAACTAGGATTGTTTGGTGGCTTGTGCCTAACGGTTACCACCGTTATGTTATGTTCTGTTTGGCAGTTCGGGTTTTGTTTTATTTTTCTACCTACGTTCTACATGTAAATGTGGTGATTTTTATGGTTTTGTTTTGTTGCAGCTGAGACAAGTGACTAGATACACAGTCTGTACTGGCAACATGAACACACATGTTACGCTATTGTCGATTTTATGTGAATAATTCGTTGACGAGAAGACAAGAAACATATCATGAATGGCAATGGATGGCTGGAGTTGCACCAACATTGTAATGAGGACCCAGATAATGGCATTGCCAAAATAATCATGCCAGGGTCCTTGTTGTTGTTGGTGGCGGTGCGTTTGTGTGTGTGCGTGTGTTTGTGTGGTAATGTTTTCTTGAACATGCGTATCATTCTGACGATGAAACCCTGGCTTTTCAGGGAAGAAGTGTCAACCAGAATGCATGCAGCAGGAACTGTTACATGACACTATAGACTTACTTGTCTTGAACAGGTACATGACTACGTCATTATAGACTAGCCTGCACTGGAGTCGATGACATAATCATTTAAAATTTTAGTACGTAGCTCTTCTACTCCGGACCTTACAAAAACGTAGACTCGCTGTTCCAAATCATACAATCAATCATTGTATCTATCATGCATGGACCATTCATGTCCTGCTGCTACATGACGTAACTCGTTAGTGATCGACGTCGGTAGTGACGTTACTCGTCGTTAGTAATAAGTTACTTCAAGTATAGCCCTATAGTTAGTGTGCTCCTTACTTTTTGCGCGCATGGTATACCGGTAGTAGACCTACTACTAGTACTGTTTTGTTCCATTCTAATAAAAATACTACAATTGTAGGCTGCCCTTCGGCCTTAGGCCTTCTCTGAAAAATGCCATTATTTTAGTGGCCACATTGTTTGCTTTGCAATAGTACACAGTCGACTAGTCACTCTTGCGATAACAATCATGTATTTTCCACCCAGTAGGCAGTAGTTAGTGTAGCGTGTTTGTCGAACTAGCAGAAAGGAAGCGATAGCGTGGATTCTTGTTCGAATATCGTGTAGCAGGATTACTTTTATAAAGATCTTTGCGGTGATATGGCGGCAACCCTAGGTGCTTCACTAGCAGTCGCACTAGTAGTAATATTAGTAGCACCAATTACTACTGCACGCGGCTCTGCTGCCGGTAAACAGAAGGATGCTAGCGCCGTGCGGACAAAGTCACCGGAACGACCGGCAGGCGCGCTTTCGGAAGGTGAGCCTGGAGACATCCGGAAAGACACGCCGTGTTCTCTGATGGTGACCATGTTACGGGCAATGAGCACGATATCGGTTTGTCATTGCTTGCCTCACGCTCACTGCTTTGTAAAAGTACCGATACAGCGTAGATGATCTACACTGTACAGTCATGTATACCGCGTGCTCAGTACTAGTACTAGTACACGATTGTATCATTCTAGAGCTATAAACTTACAAAACAGAGTTTCCGCAGTCTTGCGTAAGATTAAGAACAGCACACATTGTGCCCCGCCATTTTAACTTACTTGTGTGTCATGTACAGTACAAGTCATGTATCTAGGCCAGGGAGTCGTACCCAGACCAAGACTCCTGCTCTAGGCTAACTATGTACAGCATTTTCCGAGTACAGTGCGTATTGGTTATAGCGTGGTCTTGTAAAAGAATATACTGCCTACAAGAATGAACGCTCATGTTTTCATAATCATAACATGGATTTCAAGTGCACATTTATTCTTGCAAGCAATTTTATCCCATAGTAGAATATATCGGTCCTAAGAATGGACTTTGTGTCGCGAAACATGCCAGATTAGTACAAAGTGTATCGCCTGTAGTAATTACATCTGTCCAGTTCCGTTCTGATCTGACTCTCGTTGCGTCGTAGTGCTGCAGATTCAACTGTTGTGGTCATGTAACTCATGTTGCATAGCCACATGGTAAGCCTGTGGGACTATGACCAGCCACATGCACAGAAGTACTGCGTTGCATGTACGATGATCTTCCTGCCCATGCGCACATGCACATGATATGCCACACTTGATTTATCGTGTGTAAGAAATATCGGAAATAAGAATAGAAAGTCGTTTTTTAAACACCCACGCTATAACCGATACCTACTGTATAAGTACCACTTTGAACAATCTAAATTCACCCAAAAAGGGGGGGGGGGTGCGGCTTAATATACTTAACCCCTATCCGACCGTCAAAGTGGATAAATTCTCAGTCCAAGCGAGACGCCGCGACTCATTTTGTTGATAACTTTAGTTTCCCTTGGGTGATACTGGCACACTTGGGCTTTTTGGAAAGCTTGAGCCATGAGGAATTCTCTGGAAACAGTTTGTATCCTTTATTTGTAAGAGGAACAAAAATCCATCTCCAGTTACATTTTTTGAAGAGAAGTATGGCTCATCGACATGTGGACCATTTGTAGTCTTAATTTTGTACTTTCATGCTGACACTTTTTGAATATACCATCAGGGAAGCATCCAGGCAAAGTTTTACCGTATTTCCGCGCATATAAAGCCATGGCGTTATAGGTGAAACATCGCTGTTTTGGACCAAATTTTTGGAGAAAATAGCCTCGGTTTTAACGCCATGGCGCTAAAAGTGAGAGACGGGCAAAAAACGGCAGAGTATGAACTTCGAATACTCGTATGGTGCCGTTGCACTTTCATGTCGAGCATCCATGTACTTTCAATTTTCCCTGAAAATTTCAAATTGTGAACCTATTGTGTACAAAAGGTGGCATACAACCTTGTGTGAAGGTGTGGTGGCGGTATGGCATGTGACAGTGGGGATGGGTACATGCAGGGAGAATCACCGCTGCTGTAGGTTCACTGAAAGAATTGACTCACCTTTAACGCCAGATGCTACTTCCTCCACATTGAATTTTGTTCACTTATAACACCATGGCTTTATAAGTGAGGGTGGCCTTATATTCGGATATAACGCCATGGCTTTATATGCGCGGAAATACGGTAGGAGGGCAATATAATCATTGCCAAAGTTACACCATTTGAAAACTTGTTTCGTACGCGGTGTGAAAACAGACCTCACTCAAAGACCTATAACTTCTCTGTGAAAGATGCTAAGACGCTCCGGTCTTTTGCAAATGAATGGTGGATCTTTCCAGCTTCTTTTGAGACAAAAATGGTGCAGATGCGATCAAAAATAAGTGAGTTACAGCTTGTTAAAGTCATCGACGGATAGTCGTCGATTTTTGACTGGCTGGTCGGATAAGGGTTAATATACCTGCACTCCGATGATCAAATTAGCGGTGATAAATAGGGCAGATGTCTGTATTTTGTGGCTAAAGTGCGGGGTGCAGCTTATATTCCAGTGCAGCTTATATTCCAGTGCAGCTTATATTCCAGTGCAGCTTATATTCCAGTGCAGCTTTTATTCCAGTGCAGCTTATATTCCAGTGAGGCTTATATTCCAGTGAGGCTTATATTCCAGTGCAGCTTATCAATCAGTACATGTACTACTAGTACTAGTACTTCCAAATCCCCAGCAATAGTTGAACCCCTAATTGCAATAATACTCATAAAAAGGACGCACTTCAGGCTCATTACAAACATCTTGAAAGTTTTTGTCTTCACAAGTAACTTTCAAAAACTTTCAAGATGTTTGTAATGAGCCTGAAGTGTGTCCTTTTTATGAGTATTATCGCATTTTTGTCTCAGAGGAAACTGTTTACCTAATTGCAATATTTGCCAAAACAAATCCGGCCAATGCTGCATGCATCGTAGTCGACTACCATGTGCAGCATTGGCCGGATTTTCTGCAAGTATTGTATATTGCCATGCCACATCTACTGTTGTAGGCCCAAACGTTTCTTGGCCGCAGCTTGTGTGTATAGGCGTGATTGTGTTAGTGTGTGTGTGTGTCTGTGTCTGTGTCTGTGTGTGCATGCGTGCGCATGTGCGTGTGTGTGTGTGTGTGTGTGGTGTGGTGTGTGTGTGTGTATGTGTGCTTTTTGTATGGGACGACTTGCAGTAGTACAGCATTTGCGCATTGCGCGCCGCTCCACCAGCGCCCAGTGCACACAGCAGCCTCTGGTATGCGTCAAGCCAGACGGCCAACCCGTGATCGAACTGCAGTGCCCCGAGATAACTGTGTCTGCGACCGCCATAGAGCTGCTGCTCACTGTGAATGGTGCCGACGTCACAATTGGCACCAAGTACAGTGTTATACCAAATAGAAGTGTATTCACAATCGAGCGAATTGAGCCATTCCCCATAACGGAACGTCTGCAGTTAAGCCATACAAGTGGATGCTGTCAGTACACTGTGCTGGTGGACACCGGACAAAATGGTAAGCTAGTCGTGTCTCCACTCATTGTTGATATCAGTGTTAGTAAACACAGCATATTAACACAGTGTATTATAATCATGGCATCTTGTGTGTTTAAGAAGTTGTGAACCGTACCTTTCGGCTGTTCAAGAATGCAACCACCTCTTCTCTTTTTCTCCCCATGCGCTCTAAGCCGACACACGGCTATCCTCAGTACAGTAGCCAGTAAGGAGTATTATCAGTAAGAGGAATTAAAGTACCCGTAACCCCTTCGTTGGTTCGATTTATTGGTGTGTGTAATGGCCACTGAGGGTAGCCATGTATGGCTGAGAGCGCATGGAAGAGAAGAGGAGGAGAGATTGTTGCACCATTTTTCTTCTTCAGACTTTTCCCTTTCCGGCATTCCCTCAACTAGTCAGTATCTTGTTTTATACTTCAAAAAGTATTCAAATTCCTCATGCAGATATCTTTTTGTTTTTGTCAGGAATCGGAGGTTTCACCCTCTTATGAGAGCTCTGCATTGCCTATACCCGTGGCAAAGACTGCAGGCACTCCTTATCGTCTGTTTAGGAATGTATCCAAGAACTCTCAGGGTATTTGTATGGAGCAACTACCTGTGAAAAGTGGGCTTCGCAGTGTCACGGGGAGCTGTCCATTCCAGTGTGACATCAGTTTGACCGGGACCAAAGGCTGCCGAGAAGTAGTTTTATCAAAGCTTTTTAAAAACCTCTGATACATTAACTACATTTCTTTTGCTTCATGAAGAAGTTGAGAAATACGAAAAATCCTATCAAAGTCATAAGTTATCTGGTTCTAATCTTGATCTGTTTCATGCAGATCTTGTCCGCTATCGTTGCTATAAGGGAATATCAGTCTGTGGGTTTACATCCAGTGTGTTTGCTGATTTTCTCGCTTCTCTTGCAACAAACGTACGTTGTACATTGTGTGTGTGTGTGTGTGTGTGTGTGTGTGTGTGTGTATGTGTGTGTGTGTGTGTGTGAATGTGTGTGTGTGTGTTTGTGCATCTGATCATGCAGACTGTACATTCAGCTTTGGTCTTGAAGCCGCTCCGATGCCGCTAGTGGAATTCAGTGCAGTCGAGAAAAAGACGGTCGATCTTTTCAGCGTAGTGCGTCTGCCACCTGGCATCGCCTTGATCAACGTCACGGCAACACGCCTGCACACGGCAACCACGTCTGATCTCTTGTCCAATAGTGCGCAGTTTGTGTTCGAGAACTACACGATACGCGCCCGCCACTTGTCCCTGAACGACAGCGGTGAATACACAATCAGTGTATACACTTGTGAGGGGCAGCTAGGACAAAATTCACTTTCGGTGACGGTTGCAGGTATGTATGCGTGTAATGTACATGCATCTTTTTGTGTTACATTTTGTACAGTGGAAGTGCAGTGAAAGTGCAGTGGAAGTGCAGTGAAAGTGCAGTGGAAGTGCAGTGGAAGTGCAGTGGAAGTGCAGTGAAAGTGCAGTGAAAGTGCAGTGGAAGTGCGGTGGAAGTGCAGTGGAAGTGCATACTACCAACCCCTCTGTGTTATTCCGTATTTGTACGGAAAATCATTTCTTCGTCCGCAGTACGGAATTTGAGTAAATGGTACGGAAAATTGAAGAGGATCGACTAGCTACAGCTATGTGTGTAGAAGGGTGGCAAGCGGCACGCTGAGTGATGAATATCCCTGTGCCAAAGCAAGTGCTTGCCGTGCTTTGACTATAACTTGCCAGTATGTAGCATCAAGAGGGGTATGTATGTATATGAGTATGTAGCACAGGAAATTTTGTCGTGGTACCAGTCACACATGTTCTGCACTCGGCCACCGACAAGCACATCGTGAAGAAACAAAACAATACAAGCAGTGCACACGGCATTGGCCGGTACAGTCGTCCCTCTCTAATCCGGCTCCTTTTGCAACGGCATTTTCTGCTGGATAAACAAGGGTGCTGGATTATCAAATCCTGCCCTCCAACCCGGCCCACCTGTTAACATACATGGTTGTGTTGTACGTCAAAACGTAGAGAGTTTCTGTGTCAATCCAAGTACTTTGTGGAATGCATGTCTTTAACATACACTTGGGAATATCCTATGCACTGGCATAGGATATTCCCAAGTGTATGTTACATGTGTTGTGTATGTTGCAATGCTCCCTGACGGTATGCGATGTACAACTGCTGGATTAGAAAATTGAATTATGTACAGTTTGAGTGATTTGTTGCAGAAAATCGCTGCTGGAGGCGGAATTCAAGTGCCGGATTAAAGCGTAGAAAATGAACTGAAAAAATCGGTTTGGCCAGAAAGTGTGCTGGTTTGCAAGGGTGCTGGATAAACAAGTGCCGGATTAGAGAGGGACGACTGTATTACAGTGAGTATCGTTTATAAAGTGACCGGGTGTAACGATATACCGGCTATAATGATCGAACTCGCCAAAATCAAAATCAAATCAGAAAAAAATCCAGCTAAAATATCACTATACACACTATTATCGGCTATACCGATATATCGCTTATTGTGATGGGCTTCAGGAAGCAAACCATATCAAATGCACAGGAAAATATCGCATATACTGATCAAGAGTGATGATCACAAAACAAGTGTTCTTTCAATATAGTTTACTTCTTCCAAAACTGATCCAGTGTTGCCTGGATGCATCTGGCAGCAGACGTGATTGAGAGAAATATTCTTCCCTGTATGATGTAAGCAGCCACATGTACACGTGGCTGATTGTCATGCTTTTTCCAGCGTGTACGCATCATTTCATGCACAATCATGTGCCATGTGTCAGTCATACATGCAAATCGGCTATAGTGATGCACCGGATATAGTGATAAATTATCGAAAATCAAAGGGGCACGTTATATACACTATTTACTGTACATTGGCAGCACGCAAAAACAATTTTTTTAACACTGCACAATACGGAAATCCGAACACAGAAAACAGATCCAGTTGACTGGCAGCTCTGGAAGTGGTAGCATGGCAGATACCGTAGTGACTTGTATTAAAGCATATCTCAAATAAAAACCTGTTTTGAATAGAAGCCTGATTTTCAAGATGCACTGTCGGTACATAAGCCTGGTTTTAGCGTTGACACACATAGAAATACCTGGTTTGAATAGAATCCTGATGTGACATAATTATAAGCCTAGCACTGACATATAAGCCTAGCACTGACAACGGCTTCTACAGGAATAAGCTCGGCGTTTTAATCCGCGACATTACGATAGGTGTTGGGGTGGTGGTGGTATGGGAATGGTCTGAGACTATTCTTGAGAGGGTGCACTAGCTGGTTCAAGTCAATAAATTTCTCATGGGTCTGATGATCTCACCTTGCACCACTTCAGGAGGGGTATTTCCCCCTTGGTCTATGCAAGGGCACCACTACAACTAGTATTAATATTTCTACACACGCAGCAAGCACAGTTTGAATGTTTCTCGTAAAGGAGAGGTGTACGTGGCGGGGAGAACTTTGGCTATCGCATCAAAGTCCGGAGGCACGAGACCACTGCAGTGAACATCGAAGTTGGACGCAAACACATGCCCTAATTTGAAAATTTGCCCATCAGTGCGGAATTTCCCCGTGATGCTACTCCATGCTCAAGCATGCTGCACATCAACAATTAGCGCTTGAGACGAGTTTTCCGCTGCGGTTTGTTTGAAGTCAATGTGATAATAGAGACTGGAATGGCAGCTGTTTGACGATATCTGAAGGAATTTGCAAAGTGTTTTTGGAGCAGCTACCTAGGGGCATGACCGATTGGGCAAATCCCAAGCAAGTGCGCTCCGGGTGATCGTGATTGCTTGGCCGAATCCGGAGGACTTGGAGTGGAATCCGACCACACTGGCCCCCACGCCGGATGTATCTGGAGTGGAAGTGGACTTGCGTTTTTGACAGCTTTCACAGAATCTTTGTACAATATGCGTACATTTTGCGTACTGCACACTTGCTTTGTTCGATTGGGCCAGCGTTTCTCGAGCCACACCGCCTGCTTGCACTCAATCCAGATTCGCCAATTGATGACACCCTAGGCCACTTACAGTAGTTGCCATGATAGAAGCTGCCTTCATTCTCGTATGAGTTGCATTGTTTGCAGCTGACAACCTCATGTATGTTCGTATGCATGTGTGTGCGTGGCGGGGGTCGTGTGCTGTGTGGGCCGGTTTATCCCAATGCATAGAGCTGCTTAATAAAATCCAGTCGCGTCACTCAAGTTTGCACCTTGTATTAATTTCACAGCCCAGTGTTTGCAGGTCTATGGCTTCGCAACGCATGACTTTGCCAGTCATCTGTATGCTGATTGGCTAGTTATGTAGCACAAGTCAGACCATGTCAATTATCATTGCTATACGAAAATATCTGTGGGTGTACATTCGGTGCACTTTGCAGATTTGGGTGCTTCTGCATAGCTTGCAATGGGCAAACGTGGCATTTCATGGTGTGTGTGTGTGTGTGTGTCTGTGTGTGTTTCTGTTTGTGTTTCTGTTTGTGTTTATGTGTATGCGCGTAAGCGTATGTATGTGTGTGTGCGTGTGTGCGTGCGCATATGTATGTGGGTGCGTGCTCGTGTGCATGCGTGGGTGCTGCATGTGTATATTTTACAGGGAAGTTGTATCTTGTCGACTCCTCTCCGAGCACGCTATTCCTGGACGAGCAGTCGGCCGGTTGTGTGTGGCTATTCTGCACTGCGAAGACCAGTGAATGGCCATACAATGCCGAATGGTATTGGCCATTGACAAATCTGACCGGTCAATACAATCTCAGCCGAGAATTGATCGAGCATGAGAATGGTTCTATGCTATACAACAGTACACTATGTGTACCATTCAAAGATGTGCTGCAAATCGCAGACTTGCCAAACTGTTCTGTGTCCTGTAGCATTTACTCGACAGCCGCGAACAGTATTTACAAAGAAGTTCACTTTGTGAGAAGACCAAGTGAGCCCACGAAACCATCGCGGCGTCCATCAAGCACACCGACAGCAGAAGATCCGAGCTCCGATGAGAATATTGGTAAGAGAGTGTGTTTGCTATTAGATCACTGTGTAGAACACCTTATTAACAGTGGTGGGCTGCAAAGTATTGACTTGAAGTATTACAGCACTGGGTACTCTGCGTGTACCCCATGCGTATGTCTACTCTGCTGTGTCTATTGCGGGTGGTGCTCCTGCTGCTGTTGCTGCTGTTGCTGCTAGTGGTGACGGTGCTGCTGCTTCTGCTGTTGCTGCTGCTAGTGGGGGCAGTGCTGCTGCTAGTGGTGGCGGTGCTGCTGCTAGTGGTGGCGGTGCTGCTGCTGCTGCTGTTGCTGCTAGTGGGGGCAGTGCTGCTGCTAGTGGTGGCGGTGCTGTTGATGCTGCTGCTGCTGTTGTTGCTGCACCTACTTCTACAGCTCAGTGCTGCTGTTCTTCTTGCTACGTTCGGCATCTAACTGATCTCTACCCACAGAGGTTGTACGTCTGTGTTGCTGGTGGTGTCACCAACATGTGCATGCCGTTAGATCGACCAGTTTAATGAGATGTTCCCATGCCTTTGCTCACGTCTGCCCAGAGAAATCAATTCATCCGTGAGAATACTCTTTCTCTTTCCTGCCTTCTATTTTTATCCCAGGGGGCAACAATGTTGGCCTTTACATCGGTGTGGGGGTCACGGCAGCGTACCTTGGTGTGATCTTCATTGTCATAACCTGCGATTATGTTCGTCGGAGACCGAATACTCGCTCAGATGTCATTGCGTATTTGGGAAACATTTGCTGCTCCAGGAATGGTAAGAGATAATTGAAATGATTTCCAGTGTGAAGTAGTACAGCAACGTTCACATGGAGATGTGTGTGGAGGATGGTAGAAGAGTGTAGTCATAACCTAATTCAATGTCCCGTGTCGTTCACCGGGTCATGGAGGTTTCAGAAGAGAAAACACTCTCACCCGGCTGTAATGCAATTGAGCATACAACAATCCATAATTCCCAGGACTCGTCATTGGTACATGTACAGCGATGGGGGGGGAGGTTGGAAGATAGCAGTGGGGAAAGACAGTGTGCTTTCTCGTATCAGGCTTAGCTCGATGCATTGTCTCTCTGGTGTCATGGTATGACTGCGTGCACTTTCCTCTCATCCCGGTGTATGTTTTGAAAAGAGATTCGTGTCTGTCCTTCGCCTGTGCTTTACGACGTGTAGATCCCGTACCTCAGCCATCAACTGAGCCAGGGCCGAGATGCAGGTCGGTCAGCTCACAAGACCGACCAAGCGAGCATTTTGAATCTCAGAGGCCGAATGGTGGTGGAAGCGATGGTGTTGGAAGCAATGGTGGTGGAAGCAATGGTGGTGGAAGCAATGGTGTTGGAAGCAATGGCGTTGGAAGCAATGGCGTTGGAAGCAGTGGTGTTGGAAGCAATGGCGTTGGAAGCAATGGTGTTGGAAGCAATGGTGTTGGAAGCAATGGCGTTGGAAGCAATGGCGTTGGAAGCAGTGGTGTTGGAAGCAATGGCGTTGGAAGCAATGGTGTTGGAAGCAATGGCGTTGGAAGCAATGGCGTTGGAAGCAATGGTGTTAGAAGCAATGGTGTTGGAAGCAATGGCGTTGGAAGCAGTGGTGTTGGAAGCAATGGCGTTGGAAGCAATGGCGTTGGAAGCAATGGTGTTGGAAGCAAAGGTGTAGGCCGTTGTAGATCTGAAATGCAAGTAGGATCTACAGCGGAGTCTGTTGAAGGTAAATATCTAAATCATATGTGTACATATATGTATGATTACATACAGCTTGCTGTCTACAGCATTGGGTATTATGCTCCTCGGCTTTCGTCTTGTAAGCTGCTGGGCATGGGTGTGTGGTGGTCAGATTGCCACACTGAAGGTAAGGGAAGACATGGTGAGTTCATGCCAGGCGTATCCAAGGCAAGGTAGTAACACGAGAGTTCCATTTTTTTTAGCATGGGTATGACTCACTGGCACTGTTGAAGGAAATCTTTATATCGGTGTGTGTCTGTATGTGTGTGTCCGTCTGTCCGTGTGTGTGTGTGCGTTTGTGTGCGTGAGTGTGTGTGTGTGTGTGTCCATTGTTCTTATCACCTGACGATGGCCAAGTGCGGAAACGTTGTAAAATAACGGAACTTGTTCGGATGTGCAGCGCTATGGGAATGGGTGTGTCCACTCAAATTCCTTTCCATGTATTATCGGTGTTGTGCAATTCCATTTTTATTTGTTTCATGACATGTAGTTGTGTTTAGTTGTGTGTTCATGTGTCATCTGTGCATTCTGTATTTTGCTGCTTTCGCAACAGACAATCCGTTTCACCTGGTTAGGTTTGTGTGTGACATTCAACCATGGTTGAACGAAGTTGACGCAGATCGACTGCGACAGATGGTGATCAAGAAACATCTCATAACTGACAGCGCATCAATAGACAGACTAAAGAAAATTCAGTCCCGGGATGGACAATCTGCTCATAATGAGGAGCTCATCCAGTTGCTCAGAGCTGGTGGCCTAAAGACTTATCGTGATCTCGGTGTTGTCATTGAGGAACTTGGGTATGTGGACAGGAGCAAGGACATGCTCTCCATTTTGTCCCACACAGGTATGTTGTTGCTATACTTTTACTGCAATGTGTTCAACTTTGGTGGTGTTTAATGGACAGCTGAGAGTTTTCTCTTCGGCGTACATATTTTAGTTTTTGGTAATAACCCAGGAATGGCTGAGTTCTGATCGATTGAAATTTTGAAAAGTTTCGATCCCAGGGGATCGAAAGTTGTACAGTCCGTACACAAAGGGTTAAAATTTGCAGTTGGTCATAGCAGAAATTCCGGTGTTTCCTTTTGTTGGTACAACCAGGTTGCAGACAAGTGAGGGTGTTCTCTGTCCTGCATAGATGGGCCAATATATAATTATGTATTGCTCACATGAAATCCAGCCGCGTCACTCAAGTACGCGCCGGGCGTTGCGCAGCCCTAGACCTGCGAACACTGGGCTGCGAAATGGTGCAAGGCGCAAACTTGAGCTATGCGACTGGATTTCATTGAGCAGGATTGTACATGTAACTTCAGACAAAGCTTTACTGATGCGTAGAGACAAAGGTACTTCCTCCGCGTCGTTAAAATTATCGCTTTGCACATCGCAACGTTGGTGACTTGCTTGTCTTAGTCGGTCTACGACCCTTCCTACACAATGTCTATTTGCTACGGCAGCCGTTGTGGTCTCGCCGAGTCGGAGCCCTCGTCCGCACCAACAAATTCATCGCGCTCCGCACTATTTCTCCCCCAACCGCGTCTCTTTTTCCTGGAGTTCGTGCCGGCCCACATCGTCCGCGTGGACATTTGTCAAGACTATATGCTCCGGTATAAGAATTCTGGTATTTCTCCTGAATCTGCCATGCTGAAGTTGACGATGGCAAGAACAAAGTGTTCTCAAATTCCTAAAAAGCACTATGTGTGGCGCATGTTGCTGCGAATGTAGCAGGTCTGAAAACACAACAGAATCAGCGAAGCGGTTGCCAAGGAAAGGAGGTGCGGAACTGCTTACCCTATCCCGCTAGAAGGTCGTTACGGTTCATGCCAAAAAAATGCTAGTTTGCCGTCATCGCCTGCCACCTGGAGGCATGCGGATCACTTGAAAACGAAGTTTCACCACCTGGATTTGAACGCGCTTCTTGTTCAGCGTCTTGTTGAGTGCTGAATGGTCTGCCTCAAATTCTGGTGGAGATGTCGACCCCAGCCGCAAGTGCAGCGAATCGAGAGGCCACAAACCCAAGCTCAGTCTGTCGACAAAGCTGTGCTTCAAGTTCTAGCTGATTTCTTCGCTTCGAGTGGACAAAATAGATTTTAAAAAATCGCTCTGGGAAGCGACAATTTTAATGACGCGAAGGAAGTATGAAGGAATGCCGTGTATGTGCTTGCGTGGATGCGTGTATGTGCACTTTTGCATACGTGTGTGGGTGTGTGGTATGTGAACATGCATTCTTCTGCATGTTTGTGTGTTTAGAATTTTCTGACAAGGAGCAGGATGACATTGCTGACGGTGATAACAAGAAGGAGTCTGACAGCAGAAAGAAGGCAAGAACACAATCTGTTGTAACTGGACACAGCGGCGTAACTGGAGATTGGTCTATTTCATCCGTGCCTTCTTCAACGTCCCCAGTAGTTGCAGCAACAAGTAGGGTTCAAGACTACTCACCACCACCAAAGTCCACTTCACCGCTGGCAGGAAACAGACAGGAAGACTCTTCGTCATCTGTGTTTGAACCAGGATCCCAGGCATCATCACCAGCTGCTGCTTCGACACCCGAGGCACAGGTACCAACCCAGGCATCATCTGGAGAAAAATATGCAGCATTGCCAGCAGGAACACCTGACTTATCAGCCAGACGTCCAGACGAAAATGCCCGCATTGGATCGTCATCATCATCATCATCATCAAGACGTTACGCATACGCACAGTCACACCAAGCTTACCCAAACCTCATTGATGGTGAAGTGCCAGCAGATACGGTGATGAGCGATTACCCGTTGCTATGGCAACATTTGGAAGACTATATACCAGACGTATTAGATGCATGGATTGGACGGTCAACGTTGTGCAGAAATCTCAATATTGCATTTTATTATAAGGCCATCAAGTCCAAGCACGGAGAGGTCAAGCCCAAGTGTGTAGAAGTCATCGCGCTTATTGAAGAAAAGTGCAAGAAGCTGGCAGTTACCTATGGTGATGTTGTGAAATCGTTGAACGAAGTCGAGGCTTTTGACAACCTGTTCGCTTGGAAGACTATAATTCAGACCAAGTCGCAGCCCACCTTTCCCGATGCTGGAAAGTCACTTTGAACTGAGTTCTCAGCCCCATATCCAGTGCTATCCAGTGGGGAAAGTGCGGCCAACGTGCACTATGCACAAAATTATTTAATAGCAAATAACACACCACACACTGTAAATAAGTCATTGCTTGTGACCTCGCATGACGCAGCGGAGTCATTGGCCACGTGCCAGTTGGTCTGACCTATTTAAAACTTCCCCGGTCACTTTTGTCGCTGCATCTGTGCTTCAAGTGCTTTTTGAGGTTGGTGGCATGTTTAGAACAGTTACAGAATGTCAGTCTGACCGTCTATCAAGAGGACCGTGAAAAAGTATATTTTTTAATTAATTTTTTGCCTTTCAGCTCCATCCAAAATTTGTGAGATATTTTTATTGAGATTTAAAACAATTTGAGTTTGAGTGAGGAGCTGGCCAAGATATTGGTTGATTGAGGTACTTGAGCACGAGGTACTTGGAAGCTTATCTTTATACATACAATCAATGGACTTGACTTGTTGATTGTGCACCCAAGTGTTTGGGTGGACGACAACAATAATATTATCTTTATTCAAATCTTCGAATTATTTTGTTCAAGTTTTTTAAAACAACTCTGAGGCTGCTGAAGCACTGCCGGTTTTTATTCCATTTTCTTGACTGCTCGAAACCTAGGTATTCTTCATCATGACACGATGATACTGAAACGACTTTGTATACCTTTTATGGCAATTCGAGTGTGCTGGATGTGGATGTGTTCTTTCCTTGACTGGTTTGCTTGTTGATCTGCTCTAGTGTGGCCGCCAATTACGGTCGACATGTACCTTTCCGCTTGCATGCGAATGAAGCTGGTCTCTCTCTCTCTCTCTCTCTCTCTCTCTCTCTCTCTCTCTATCTCTCTCTCTCTCTCTCTCTCTCTCTCTCTCTCTCTCTCTCTCTCTTTCTCTCTCGTAATCCCTTTAGCCTTAACCCGGTGTGATCGATGATGTTTCTGGTCTGTGCCGGGGTTTGGTTGCCATAGCTGCAACGGTGGCATACTGTCACCACGGTCAGTGTAGAGCCGATTCAGTCTGGAAGTGGTGCATGGCGATTATCAAGGCCAAGATAAGAATGATTGTCGTGTAACAAGTGGTGGCCATGTGGCACTGCCACTTGTAAGTAATAGTTGTAGGCTGTATGGAACAGTGTGTTTGTGTGTGGGGGGGGGGGGGAGGGGCGTGGTACATGGTACCGGTGGCAGTGCTAGTGCGCAAATAATTCAATGCTAGTGAGCTACATCAGTACACATGGTACATGTACTAGCCTGTGAATATGATCGAATGTGTACATGGTGTGAAAATAATTTTTTTACTAAAAAAAATAATGACCATGCATGACTAGTCGACTCGACTAGTACATGTTTCATGCAAAGGATACAGGGAGTCATTATTTTTTGAAAACAATTATTTCTTTACATTTTCTGAATTGGATGAATAGTTTACCAGTCCTGCTCCAGATAGAGAATTCTGAACAGATCTCTGTAGCACTCAAGAAAGAATGCTGCGCAGCACATGTAGTTGACCGCTACCGGTATAGCGCCGGGCCGCCGGTCGGATCTGCACGGTAATTCACGACGTATTTAGCGAGCCCGGATAAAGGACTACATGTACTGAGGAATGGAGGCGTCCACGAACCCTTCCCCTGGTCAACTTGTTTTGGCTGTGCACACAAGGGGCAGTGTATCAGAGTCCTGCCACGAGGAGTCAGGCACAAGTCCTCCTGCAGCTGCTGCTGCAAAACCAACACTGAAGGAGAGCGATTTGAATGGACAGTCATTAAATCGACCCAGACATGCAAAGTTCATCGATGAGCTAACACTACAGTTGACGGGGCTTGAAAAACGTTTCTTCTCGGTGCCATCCGTAGTCAGCATCGTTCCTTTTCAGTACACCAAGGCAGTTATGTCAACGGCAGCTGATCCGGAAAAGAAGACTGGTGACATTCTTGAGCTCTGGTTCAGCAGGTCACAGAATCTGATCACTGTAAGTGATGTGGCTATTGTGCTGCTGGAGATTGGCGAAGCAATGGTGTGCGATGACTGGCTCAAACGAATTGAACATCCTGGATTGAACTGGCCAAACATTGATGATATTTAGTAAGATCCTTCACACACGCACCTGCATTGTCACACACACACACACACACACACACACACACACACACACACACACACACACACACACACACACACACACACACACACACACACACACACACACACACACACACACACACACACACACACACACACACACACACACACACACACACACACACACACACACACACACACACACACACACACACGTACACACACACACGTACACACACGTACACACACACACACACGTACACACACACACACACACCACACACACACCACACACACACGTACACACACACACGTACACACACACACACACGTGCACACGCATGCGCACACCTACCCGTGAACGATGATATGTAGCCCCCCCCCCCCCCCCCCCTTCATCGCACATACAAAATATTATACTCAGGTGCGCCGGAAGCAGTTTTCAATTGGTCCAGTCATACCATAGTCTTTCATACAGTTTCTGTATAAGATGGTGGGAATGTAGGCCCTCTTCAGCAGTAAATATGCGTTAGTAGCTACAAAGTTGGTCCGGTACTAACCTGACCAACCGGACCGCTTCCGGCGGGCCTGATGGACACGCACACATACACAGTGACACACACACACACACACGCACACACACAGTTCGAGTCCTTGGTGGTGACAATCAATTTTTTCTTCAGACTTTTCTCGTTTGTGTCTTTCCCTCAAACTAGTGAACACACACACATGTACACACAATTTACTTGAGATGCGCTTGATAGCCATCTGCATTACAGCCGAAACAACGTGCCTCAAAGTACATGATCACATTTCCATATAAAGTTCTAAAACAACTCTCCTTCACTGGCTATTGTACAGGCAACATACAAAGTCAATCTTGATATGGTGACCGTTGAAGTAACTGTACTAGGAGAGACAGAGAGAGTGGAGTGAGAGAGAGAGGGGACATTCTATTTTCATTGATTGTGATATAGTAACTGTACCAGGAGAGACAGAGAGACAGAGAGGGTGAAGTGAGGGAGAGGACATTCTATTTTCATTGATTGTGACTACCATGCAGTGCTGTCTCGCGCAAAGTTGGTATTTTTAACGTCTTGAATGATTTTCGGACTGTCAGGTCAGCTGGTGCTGTTGATCACGATTCTGCCAAATGATTGCTTGGCGAAATGTTTGTCCGCCTGCTCTATTTTTCATTAGTGTTGCCTTGCTCTGGACTCTGATCACCATCAGATTATGATCAGAGTGCGTGTTGTAGATTCTACTTGAGTACAACACTCACTCTGATGTAAGAAAACACCAAAACTACAGAAAATTGTAGTAGTGTGCTGATGAGTTCCCTGCCATCGGTGTGCAGCTGTCATGGTATAATTATAATAGTATCGTATTATGACACCATACTATTATTGATGAGTCGACGTTTGCACGTATACAGCAGCAACTGCAGGCACGATAATGGTACAGAGCCAGTCAGTGAGATCTGATCATTGCGTGAACGTGTTCTAGTGCTGACTGACTATAGTGCAGCGGGGTTCTTGCCGGGAAAAGAAACAGCTCACCCATCACCCATGTTCCATTATTGCCTTGTCCCAAAAAATGCAACTCCCGGGTGCACAGACCGCCCGGAATGGTTCATTTGTGGCCGTATTAGTGCTGTGTGAACTGAAAAAGCACAAACATTGAAATTGAGTTGGGGGGGGGGGGGGGAGCGCTGACCCCTGACCCCCCCCCCCATTTTTGCTAAAACCCTGTCCAGCGCCAGACCTTTACACTGGACTGTGACCTGGTGCCAAGCATTGTGCAGTCCAATCACCCAGTGACCCGGTGAAGACTGGTTTGTGTACGCCGGGGATTGGTAGTATCAACGGAGGCGGGACACGGGTTGCTGTACTGATACACTTAACCCATACTTGCCAACCTTTGCAAACCTGAAATCGGGACAACGACATACCTACACCTAGGTATGAAAATCTATACAAATGTAGCTGTGGGGCATGGGGCAAATGCACTTTTGGGTAAATATTACCACCCTCGATACCGCCCCGGGGACGGTCCCGTTTAAATCGGGCTGGCTGGCAGGTATGTTAGTTTTTTAGTCATGTGAGTTTAGACGCAAGACTGCTAGGGACCGGCGGATTCTGCTCGAAAAGGTGGCGGATTCTGCTCGAAAAGCAGTAAAATTGGCAGAACCATACAAACCTTATGGCGGGCAATTCCTCGAATTCTGCTCCATTTCTTTATCCACATACCAAACATGCATGAAACTTACCAGAAAAAGTACCGAATTCTGCCACTTTTTTTCTGCCGGCAGAATCCACTGGACCCTAAAGACTGCCCGCGTTAAAGTCACCCTTGGCCAGGATTGATTTATACGCTGCTGCTGCTGCATATGGCCAGCCGCCCTTCGGCGGGGCTGAGTTATACGCTGCTACTGCATATGGCAACGCTTGTGTAAGTCGTGCTTGGGATCGTTACTCAGAGGTTCATGGCAATTCGGTGTCTGATGATTGCCATATTACTTTTCGATAAGTATGGCCATGAAAGTCTGAGTAGCAATGAGGGAATACTAGCCTTGTCCCATAGTAAACTCGCACCATTGCCTAGGCTATGACCAAGAGTAGATAAACAAGAGTGTGCAACTCCGGATCTCTCCTGCACAATCTGCAGATACCCCCGCCCACGGCGGAATTTTTTGTTGACGTCACCTTTTTTCAGAAACGCGGACTTTGCCGCGCAGAGCAGTGTGAGAGCACGTGCTGGGCACCGACCTTGCAATGTAAAGCCCGGCCAAGTGCACGAGGGAAACCTCTCCAAAAGGCTCGCAGTGCGTGCGTCGTCGAAAAGATTACGTCAAAAATTCCGCCGTGGGCCAACCCATCCGCGAGTTGCACACTCTTGTTTATCTACTCTTGCTATGATGTATGACTAATTTGCACCTCCTGCCATACATGGTCTCAGGTCCTACTTGTAGTTCTCTGCCTGTACAGTCCTATCTACGTGTACATGTAAAGTCATTTTGACGGACGCAGCCTTCCCGCAGTCATGTAACTATGTACCCATTTGGAAAAAGAACACCGGGTCACTTGTGACCCGGTTTGGGGGCACTTGGACCCATTTTGGAAAAAGAACACCGGGTCATTTGTGACCCGGTTTGGAATACATATGCAACATATTCACCGGGAGTCCTAACGTATTTACAGCTCCCTCGGATGTACATCCAGTAGTCGCACCTGAACGTACCCGGCTCTGACCTGGTTGGAATAGTTGTGCCAGTTACACGTGTACCCGGTGGGTTTGAAATCCTAGTGCAGAGTGACACTGACTGATAGCAGTGTCTAAGATTCGCAAGCTGTGTATACCATGGTATACTGCTCTACAGTGGACAGAACCAGTGATCAGGTGATGCATTGTACAACACTATGATCTTACATAACTATACATACATTGACATGACTTTAATAAAATAATGTAGTAATCTTGTACAGTACAGGTGGTCTTCTCATCCAGTGATATTGGACTGGAAATGGTATCTCTTGCTCCTCATTGTAGCGGTCCCCGTTGGTTGGTTGTGGTGGTCCTCTAGCCTAGGAGAGGTGGTCGCCTTGACAGGTTTTGCTGTGGAATGATGCTCATCGTTCGTGCCATTGTGCGAACTTCAGCTGGGTTCAGGAACATTATTGTAAGACTTACAATAATGTTCCTGAACCCAGCTGTGGTTCATTGGGTACTGCACTTGCCTGCGACCCGAGAGGTCGCGGGTTTGAGCCCTGCAGTCGCACATCTGACTGCAAAATCCCCCCGACGCAGCTCACCAGATCAAGTTGTAGGTTCCCTTCACTCAGTAGGGTCGAGAGGGCTGCAACTCCCGGTGCCGCAAAGCTGGCTCACGCCCCTACATGGCTACTTCCCTTTGTCTAACCCCCAAGACGAAAATGATTGTAGCCAAAATAAAACACCTAAAAACCCAGCTAGCTGACTCAGACATTGACTCTACTCTAGTCTCTAGTCTTACAATTGTAGTACATACAATGTAGTATTAGGAGTACCGGTATTTAAAAAGAGAGCGGGAGACTGGCTCTGCACTCTGCAGGGGTACATGTACGTGCACATGCACCGGTATCATACTCCAACTTAACAAACCTAGTTCATTTCGAAAATCTCTTTCAGATCATGATCTCACTTCACTCCATTTGCTATTGGGTATAATTATTATTACCCTCTGTTCCCCAGGCCATCATCCACTGCCTATCCACAACCACAACACGCATTAAATACACTGCTGCATGTTTTTTTTTATTATAACTGCTGATAGACTGATAGACACGACATCTTATTATGTCCCATACTGTATTATACCGTATTCTGATCACAGGAATCATGCTATCACGTCACACTATTTTATTTTTCATCATGGCCTAGGAGCTGTGGCATCATTCACGATCCACAGCAAGAAGGCAGCAATGCCTGTACCTAGGCTATATATGGTGAAGTAAACATAAAGATAACATAACATCCTAGAGAGGTTAAGATACACGTTATTTCCGACGTGACGCGCAATTTCACGTCAAATTTGGCGTAAAACTCCAAATTTCGACGTGAGCAGCAGGTCACTCGCGTTGATTTTTCGACGTGTGAGCAAATAACGCGAGCTGAACTTTCGCGTCACGTCAGAAATAACGTGCATCTTAGTGCTTGCGTGGTGCACGCAAGGCATTCCTACCAGCAATGGCCTCAGACTCGGCAGCGCTTGTTGTTGCTGAAGCAAGAATCTCAGCTTGAGGCTTACATTATTATTATTATCTGTCAAGTGTCATTAATGACATTGTACATGATCATCACCGCGCTCGATCTAAAAAAAAAAAAAAAAAAAAAATTTACTAAACAAAAAAAAACAAAAAAAATCTTAACCTCTCTACATGTACGTACGTAGGGTGTAAAACAAGTACTGTTGTACTTCGAAGTACCAGGTACGATGTAGATCCCAGGGAGTCGTAAAATACCGGTATTTTACGACTCCCTGGTAGATCCACAATTTTGACGTGCGTGTGAGATGCTTTGTAGTACAGTGCGCTCTGGCCATGAAAGGATAGCGACGGCCACTTGATGTCCATCCTTGGTATCGTGGAAAGGCTTAGCTATGCCGTGTCAACACTAGTCTCCAAAAGATCTGTCGATGATAGTATTTAGAGGCCACAAACAGTATAATGTTCATGGTCCCTTGATAAATGCTTGAACAGAAGCAGTGTTGTCTTGCCAATGCTGTGCAGAACTCAGTCAGAAGGGGCGTGACAATCTGATGTGAGATGCAGTAACAACATGATCGTATTCCACATGTACAATGATTACAGATTAGTGCCTTGTGCAGTTGTTTATCGCCAGCACTGACTATCAGTATGAGTCAGAGATGGGTATACATGTACATGTAACACCGAATGTGTCTTTGAGAAGGTGGTGCAATCGTGTCAGAACACGTGACATGAAACAATGCCAAAAGTATGACTGATTTATTAGTGCAATTAGGAGTATAATAGATGCAGACATGGCCAGACAACAACGAGTTCATGGAATTTTTAAGGATTTTTATGTTATTCAAAATCGATTTTCGTGTTCCGCTCATCAGTGAATAGTATCGGAACTGAGAGTACTGTGAAACAAAAATAGAACATTTTATAACAGCATAATTAAAAGTGTGAACAAAAAAGGAAGTGCTACAGCATTACATAATAGGTGTCAAACATAGTGCTAACATATATAACTGAGTGCAGGCACAAAGCATGAGGTGATACAGTGCAACATGACACAACATTTACATCTGATAACCAGCTACGAGAACAACTTTAGCGCGACTACATGCTTCTTTTGTTTACAAAGAACAGGATTATGCACACGGATGATGAGGAAGTGACTGATGATGATGATGGTGGTGATGAGGACGATGAAGATGAGACGGAGGACGAGGATAAGGCGGAGGAGGTTGGGGGAAAGGAGCGGGATGAGACGGAAGAGAGCGACGTGAGCAATAAGTCAGCTGTATTTTGTCACTTGTTATCACGTCCAGATTGTCTTAGTGTGTACGATGATTCTCACTTTTCTGTTTTGTGCCGCGCAAGTTATGTTAAGCAGTTGAAGGTTCTGGAAGCTGTATGTATTCGTGTGCATAATCCTGTTCTTTGTAAACAAAAGAAGCATGTAGTCGCGCTAAAGTTTTCTCGTAGCTGGTTATCAGATGTAAATGTTGTGTCATGTTGCACTGTATCACCTCATGCTTTGTGCCTGCACTCAGTTATATATGTTAGCACTATGTTTGACACCTATTATGTAATGCTGTAGCACTTCCTTTTTTGTTCACACTTTTAATTATGCTGTTATAAAATGTTCTATTTTTGTTTCACAGTACTCTCAGTTCCGATACTATTCACTGATGAGCGGAACACGAAAATCGATTTTGAATAACATAAAAATCCTTAAAAATTCCATGAACTCGTTGTTGTCTGGCCATGTCTGCATCTATTATACTCCTAATTGCACTAATAAAATTGCTTTCTCCACGCCGACTCTTTAAGTATGACTGATTGTTATTTATTATTTATTTATTATTATTATTATAGGCTTTTCCGCGTTGGCATCGCCAAGCAAGCTTGGCTAGCCTTCGCATAAGCAAAAGTATGTTATCTATAATCTAAGGTGAACGTTCTGAAAACGTGCAATGTACATGCAGTGTTCATGTTGGGCATGCTGCGTCAGCTTTCATCAGGTGACTGCGGTGTGCCTTGGCATTGACGTCAACCATGAACTGTTAGACAGACAGCCAGACCGCCAGACCGCCAGACAAGATGCTCGTAGACTTGCATGCGTAGCTGGAAGTCATACAGACGAGACGATGGGATGTGGCTACACAACATTCACAGCACAGTCCCACTCACTTGTCAATGACAATGCTAGACATGACAGTGCACTAGTCTATAGTGCAGTGCCCTGCATGCTCTCTACTAAAATGACTTCATTGGAGGCTGAGTAGCCATACATGTAGTCATACAGATGTACAGATCCTCTCCTGATATGAACCATCCTTGCACCACCACAATAATAATTATAACTATTGGGGGAATACGTCACCCATTATGTTACGACGTCCAGTAATACGAATTAGCTGAACAGACTCAGTGTGGACATGACCGGGTACGGACTGGGGGGTAATCCCTTACCATGTCCAATGGGGTACACGAAAGATTCAAGTCTAAGGGAAAGCCCCAAAAAAATTTCCCGGTGCTGAGATGTCGATCATGCCGTGAAATTCAGTACAGTTAGACAGGGAAAAAAGAGGGAGACAATTTCAGTTAACGACAAGATACTTTCATGACTGTAACATGAAACAAGACCTGTGCGTTTGTGCGTGGGCCGTGGAGGATTCCCACTCGTGTGCGAAGGCGGCGATGTCGCGCCGAAGGCATTCATGACCCACACTATACGTATTCATAACCCAAGAGGAGTCTTTTTCTTCCAGCAGTAGTAGCAATATGCACTGTAGGATACACACAGATTAGAGGCGGGAGAGAAGAGGAGAATGGTGGTCAGGAACAGAGGATGTTGAGACAAGCACATGTAGACCGAGCTGAGCGAATGGAAGAGTATTGTTGAATGACACTAGCAGATAGCGATACACTCGTCGTTCAGGCTGTTAGCTATTATCGCAAACACCAAACCTTGTAACTTTAGCCTACATTAGAAGATCGTCATGGGGAAGGTGTTAATGTTCTGGACACTCGTACTGCTGCTCACTCTTGCAATGTTGTGTGGTGATCTCTGCCATGCAATGATCGAGAAAGCAAAGGGTGAGTAAGCATGCAATGCCTGTCTCAGTGTCCGTGATGCAGGAACGTGTGCGCTTGTACACGAAAGACATGTAATTATGCTCTCATTCCGCCGCGCCTGTGGTGGTTTCTTAGACACGCACAACGTTGTAGTGTGGTGTTGTACTAATACAGTCGTCTAGTCACTACTACTCTGCGGTGTCGCTACGCTGTATGCTTACATCTACATACTGGAATGGTGCTATCGGCATAAACCCACACGCAGAGGTAGCATTGAGCTACACGTGTTCGAAGCATGAATGACTTTAAATCCTACTTTTCGGTGGCTAGACAAAGTGGCTGATTTTTGCTTGAGTGTATCTTAAGTGCCGGGACAATCGTAGTACCAGTACATGCAGAATTTGGCTCCGTTGTGTGGTAGGATCTGCATTCATTTCGATGCCTGTCGCCTTAATCCTTGATGGACCTCTGGATTATGGCTTACCGACGACTACCCGAATCCCCAACAAGTCGAATGGCTGATTCAAATGGTGGTAAATACACACCAGGCGGTAAATGCTTATCACCATTAGAATCAACCATAAGTACAGCTGCATTGGTGTCTTCAAACTTCATTCTCCCAAGTCTCCCAAGGCTGGCGTGAATTTTGAATGTTTATTGCTGCACTGGTGCATGTGAGATGTATACTCATTTGAGTCATTTCAAGTAATTTGTCTCGGCTCTTAATTGTGCTCCGCCATGCAGGTGGAGTCAGCAACGCCCAGCGCAAAGTCAGCAGCATGTCCTTCTCGTACCAGGTGGAGATCATCCAATCCCTTGGCAAGCATCAACAAGCATCGCCCGTCCCAATATTTATCAGCGGTCCAGACGTTCATGCCGGGGGCCACATTGGATTCCCTTCTGAACCATTTCGAAACCTGACCTATTTGCCCGCGGATGTGAACGTGTGGGTCGACAATAGGCCATGGGATGTGACAGATACGCGCCTCTTTCGACATGGCTCCGGCACGGAACACTTTATGACACTCACCGATAGCGAGAAGAAAGACCAAGCTCTAGTATTCAACGTCACCATCAGGAACAAAACGGCATACTTCCAGATAGTCTTTGGGAGTGAGTATACCTGAACGCACGAAGTCATTATCTCGTCACACATGTGCATAATAATTATGATACATGTACATGTATCTCGACTCTTGTAGATCTGCTCTGCTAAATTACTAGTAGCAGTGGGCCATAGCCATGCATGGGACGACATTGAGTCTCGACCATACCATGACCACGTTTGTGGGCAATCGCCTCTGACTCTGTGTCAGCAAATCTAAAACCACAGAGGCACGGAACAAGTCTGTGCATGCATGACGTGCTCGACAAAATCCGGCTTCGTGAATCAGTACAGTAGCACACAATCATGACTGCACCAGGGTCAGACGTAGATCTATGCATAGTGGAATCACCGAAGGATGTACCCAGAGTGCTTGACAGTGCTCAACACCACAAAGGCAGAGCGTAATACACAACAGAACAACAAGGACAATCAAGGCTTGTTTGCTGCTACTTTAAGTTTCATGCTTACGCAATCATCAGGCAACATGAAGATCGGGTGCCGACCATGCCGGTATATATGCCAGGAGAGGCCTCGGATACTCTCTGAAGAATATCCCCTTGCCCAGCCACAAGGAGTACACACTACGTCTCATTGCCTAAAACATCACCGCTACTGCGCTAGCCCCCACAGTCTCACACAGCTTTTTATACCACCCTCTCCTGGCATATATACCGGCATGGTCGGCACCCGATCTTCATGTTGCCTGATGATTGCGTGAGCATGAAACTTAAAGTAGCAGCAAACAAGCCTTGATTGTCCTTGTTCTGTTGTGCATAGTGGAATCATAATTCGAATTTTTTTTAATTCATAGCCTGATGCCAGCTCACATGCGCATGTGGCATTGTGGATAGCCTACATGAGACTGCATGAGACTGCACCACAGACTGTACTGTACAATCACGTGGTACATGGTGTTATGACTGTTGTACTGACAGTCTGTTGTAGTGGGAAACTACATGACAATCATGTTGTAATCTAAGCATCAAGTATTAGTTGTGCTCTAGACTATAGAGTATAGTATGTACCGGTAGTGGTACAATCATGCAGTCGCTGGCTGTCGTTTTGGAGACGCTGAAATAACGTTCTTGCTGTGTAGACTACTACAATTTTCAGTATAAAGAATGATGACTACTGCATTGTCCTATGCTTGGTGTGCTGGTCATGTAGGTCTGGACTTCAAAATGTTCGCAGTGCCTGGGCCGAAAAGGCGTTTTCACCTGGCGCGAAAGACAGCACTAGTTGGAGAATCTGTGATTGTAGAAGGAATTCGCGTGGACGATCCATGGATGCAGGATATGGTGAAGTTGGAAGTTTTTCACAACCTTGTGGACGTTACAGGCAGCAAGCGGCTCAAGACCCTGCCAAATGGCGGCTTCTCTCTCGTGAATGTGACGTGCTATGATTCCGGAAACTGGTTTGTCAGGGCGACACATGCCAGCTCGCGTACAGGGTACACCCAAGTGATTCAGCTCATTGTGAAATGTAAGTGGAAAGTACCCCCCCCCCCCTCCCCCCTGGCCCAGGCCAGTATTGTAATGACGCTAACAGCTAGCCGTCCGTCCTTTGAGTGTCATATTCAATGAACATCTGTACTAGTAACTATTGAGTATATATGTATGGCGTACATGCATAGGGAACGGTCGTAAAATACATCTACTTGCCATGTCATCAATTTAATTGTAGAGGTTATGCGCATGATGCCATGGTGGTGAGTCTGCAGAACCATGTATGGGCGAAGGTATACAGCACGAGTCGCTAGTGCATCGTGTACCGCTGCGCTGCGCCGCTAAGTTGCCAAAGCACCTCAACTGATGATGTCATCGCATAACCTCTATAGTTATGGTTCAGCAATGAGTGTTTTGGCAAGCTGCCATGATGCGATCCTTTCACAGCCACCTTGTGCTCATTGTTCACACCAGTTCATAGTGCTCCACCATTCAGCTGATGCATGCCCTCCAGATGCAGTACGATACCAAGAGTACATGAAAACCAGAGTGTGCAGCTTGGGGCATTTTCTACTATGGGTGTCTGTGACGGCGGAATTCCGTGTTTTCATCATATTTGGCGCAGATTTGAGGCGGGAAGTGGCGTAGTGCGTACAACTGAGCTGCAGTTGAAGGGCAGGAGATCTGCTTGAATCCTGCTTGTACGCACTACATCACTAAGGTGATGTAATCACGGAATTCCGCCGTGACAGCAACCCATCCGAGCTGCACACTCTCGTCTTCATGCGCTCTTGACGATACCTTCACATGTTTTTTTTGTAAAAAATAAAATGTCATTGTATACACATAACAAAGTCACTACTCCCACTGCCATCTCAGTAGTCACTGACGACGCACATTGCAAGCACAGACCACAAAGACCTATGGCCAGTGCAGCCAGACTAAATGCTGTGTAAGGGAGGCCGTGTACATTTCCAGTACATTTGTATTGACTGTATGAATGTACCGTTCCGAAGTACGATTGCCATGGCAACCTGTGGCAGTGCATTATGTCGCTTCTAGGCTTAACACCGAGACTGTGTTCTTATTGGTTGTACAGGTAAAATTCGGTTGACGACACCGTCATCTTCACCAGGACAGCCAGAAAGAACGCCATACAGCACTAGATCTGTTTACTCCTGCCGAGCAATGTCAAACCCCGCTCCATATCTCTACTGGACCGTCATGATGCCAAACGGGTACGTTAACCGTTTCTCCACCAGCACACGCCTTGTGCATCATGACGACTTGGAACGGGAGGCGATTCTGACTCTGCGGCCAGAGCAAATGGAGATGTTCAATGGCGGCATTCTTCAATGCGTTGGAATCAGAGGTCGTCGCAGGGAGCTCGTGGTACTCAAAACAACGCTTCTGGAATTCTTGGACCGAACGACAACCCCGCTACTACCCGCTACGTTGCCATGGAGATCTCAGCTGCATGTGACTTCCCAGACTGATCGTGTTCACGTAGGAAACTCTGCGGAGAGAGGAGATGATCGCCGAGGATACTTAACCCCGGAATCGACACCACAGTTTGGCAGTCACTCTCCACCGAGTGATCTTGAAACAGAGGTGACGCCTGACCTGACCTCGCCAGTGGACAACACACCGCCATCAAGGAAACCATCCACATCGTTGATTGCTCAAACATCCGACCGCTCCACTGTCGTCCTTACCTCCAATAACCGCATCCAGCCCACCACCACCAGTAGGCCGAAGTCCACCACCAAAAGCCATGCATCCACCTCTGACAGTCAGTCATCCTCGTCTACGACCACCATCACCAGAACTAGCACTGTCGCCTCCTCTCCCACCATCGTTACCACGGTGATGTTGCCAGCTGACGCAACCAGCAAGCTACTCCCAACCTTTCCAAAGCAGAATCCACAAACTACTGTCCAGACCCACAGTATCAGTGGTACCACCATTACCCGCACACCCACTGTGTCCACTTCACCACCACCACCAACCACTTTCCCGCCAGGTTCAGTTGTTGAAATTGACTTGGCCACATCAACAGCATCGCTCATGGACACTGCCATTAGTCCTAACATGCCATCCACAGCTTTCGTGACCGAAGTCAGAGCTACAAACAAGCCACTTGAGACAATTGTAACGACATCAGCCCCAATTCCAGCAGCTGCAACCCCAAAGAGACCATCATCATCGAAATTTTCTTCTCGACCAACATCTACAGCCTCTCTCTCACAACCCACCAAAACAACTACCTCTCCCTCACAACCCACTACAGAAACTACCTTTTCGTCACAACCCACCACAACAACTACCTCTCCCTCACAACCCACCACAACAACTACCTCTCCCCCACAACCCACCAAAACAACTACCTCTCCCTCACAACCCACTACAGAAACTACCTTTTCGTCACAACCCACCACAACAACTACCTCTCCCTCACAACCCACCAAAACAACTACCTCTCCCTCACAACCCACTACAGAAACTACCTTTTCGTCACAACCCACCACAACAACTACCTCTCCCTCACAACCCACCACAACAACTACCTCTCCCCCACAACCCACCAAAACAACTACCTCTCCCTCACAACCCACTACAGAAACTACCTTTTCGTCACAACCCACCACAACAACTACCTCTCCCTCACAACCCACCACAACAACTACCTCTCCCCCACAACCCACCACAACAACTACCTCTCCCTCACAACCCAGTACAGTAACTACAGAAACCACCCGTGCACCTACTCTGAATGGAAAATCTGCAGTGCCATCATCTTTCCTTATAATGGTTTTGTCCACAATGAGCCCCATTATTAACGCACAAACGAAACCTTTAACCGACATAGGCCCTAAACACAATGAGAGCACCCCAGAGCAGCAATCTACAACCAGGAATCCAACTTATAAAACGAGCAGTACTAGTATTATCACAACATCCAGATCCAGTGTGAGCCATCAACCCAACCATAATCTTACCCATACAAGTGTTAGTCCTGCGACCGGCGCTACAACGCCTGGTGTGAGGACTTCCTTGAACACCCACTCTGGCACTGCCATTCTATCACAGACGGCACCTGGCCAGTCACGCCCGTTGCATTCGACAACAGTTTCCACAACGCCCGCAGCCAGTGCGGACACCACTACGCGAATTAAACCCGTACATGTCAGTAGCAGTAGCAAACGTGATGGCAGTGTACTCAGAGCTAACACCAAAGACACTGCCAGTCCAACCCAGTCTTCCGTCAGCCTATCTGGACTATACAATAGCAAGGGCACTGAGTCCAATTCACGCTCAACCCGAGCAGTGTGGGAGGACATTGATAGCTACGACAAGCCACCGACCGACCCAGAATCTGAGAGCAATGAGCCAAACGCAGTGCTGGAACCAGCCACGGCGAGCCACCCTGTGACCAGCTTTCTATACCATACCAGTGAAGTCACTAATGCATGGCGTACTACACTGATAGAAACTTCACATATGTATATGACCGCGATCATTGACTGGGCAGCTGTTACGACTCCTGGATTCGAGGAGGACACAGTGAACTCAACGACACCTCGCGATTGTGAGTCTGCTTTAAGTACATGTAGAGTGATTTCCACATTACATAGTAGATCTACAGTACTGTCGGTCGCGAAGAACTGGACGGGGGTCAGCCTCCTAGCCTAGACCATTCTTATTTTCATGTATTACAGTCTATGCACGGTTGAGTCAACATACCATGTATACATTGCATACATTGGTATGCTGTGCTTGGTGAAATTCTAGCCTGGTCGTTCTTCGGCGCCCGGTGACAGACCTGTAGTATTAGAGTACAGATATACTACTCTCTCAATGGAGTACAGATATACTACTCTCTCAATGGAGTACAGATATACTACTCTCTCAATGGAGTACAGATATACTACTCTCTCAATGGAGTACAGATATACTACTCTCTCAATGGAGTACAGATAATACTACTCTCTCAATGGAGTAAGGCTTGTGCGATGTCTGTATCGTCCTGTATTTTACTTCTTCAGACTTTTCCCGTTTGCAACTCCCTCAAACTAATGAACATGACTGTATTGTTTTACTGTTCAGCAAGTTTGGCCAGAATAGACTTGAGTCTGAAGAGAGATCTATACAAATAACCTTGATGATTTTCTGTGGCCTTTCGCTTCTGCTCTGCATTTCCAAAAACCGTGACATCAGTTTGATCTCTGTTTGTGGTGCTATAGGGGTCCAGCTTCTGCTCCTAATTGGCGTGAGCTTGATAGTATTCGTGGTCATAGTGGGTATAATTGTAGTTATAAGTTATAAAGTACATACCCGTCACAAAGCCAATGCCTCCACTGACCAGAGCAGTTCAAACAGGGACAGAAAAAGCGAGGAGAGGAACTGCAATGAAGGTGATACACTACGGAACGAAACTGACTCCGATGTGGAAACCAGCAGTACGCGGGCACCAGTGGATTCCAATAGTTTTATCTTCCCTGATCAACGTGAACCAGTCGACATGCCGCCAGACCCTCTCGCACAAAACGGAGCACAGGTGGATGCAGACCCGTACACCGTAAATTTGAGTGAGTTCTTGTTTTTGCTTTCCGCTTGTGAATGGCACTGTACTTTGGAAGCTACTAAGTTTTGAGTACTGTGTACTTGAAGTAAGTAAGATCTTTTTCTTATGACTGTCAAGCCGTCAAGGGAATATTCAATGTTGCTCTCTATTTCTTCCATGCCCAGTCCTCCTGCTAGGCGTAGTCAACCCTGAATGCCACCGATAGTCTTGTACATCGGACTGTTGTTGTTCAATTGTGTAGGCTTGCAGAACATTGATGGCGCAAGCGCCGATACCCGGACTCTGCAAGCATGCGCTAGCACAATGGGACACAGAGATCCTGCTACTGGAAGCATTGCATCACTGTCAAGATTGGAGGAAACCACGCGAGGTGGGTAGTCATGAAGGGTGTGGTATTGGAATGTGATGTAGGAGGTATGAGTGGCAAAATATGTGCCACTTATGTACCACTTATGTGCCACTTATGTGCCACTTATGTGCCACTTATGTGCCACTTATGTGCCACTTATGTACCACTTATGTGCCACTCACACAGACCTGCAAGACAGTATGAGAAGTACATGTATAGCCCAAGGCCGTCACAGCCGGGGCGGCTGGGGCGGCTGAGGCCGCCTCACTTTTTCGGCCGTATTTTTGTTTTTTTGTTGTTTTTTTTGGAGCACATTACAACAAAGCACAATGCATGATCGCAGCTTAGCGCAAACGTGACAAATCCTTGTCCCCAATCGTGGTTTGTTGCAGAAAAAAGTCTTTCATTGCAGTTACACTGAAATGGCACCAAATGCCTGGAAATGCTTGCAATTGGCTTCAATTTTTGAATTTTTTCCCCGGGGAGGGTAATGTTTGTCCCCGATCGTAGCGTCTTCTTCGTTTGTTGCAGAATCAAAAAAGACTTTCATTGTAGTTACCGTACACTGAAATGGCACCAAATACCTGGAAATGCTTGCAATTGGCTTCAATTTTTGAAATTTTCCCGCGGGAGGACCCCCGGACCCCCCTTCCATGGCCGCCCCACCTCCAAAGTCGGTGCGACGGGCCTGTAGCCGGTCCATTTCCTCTCCAAACCCACAGTCCTCTGTTTCAGTTAAGTCGAATGCTCGATGTCCTTTCCGAATTCCATTTTCCTTGGTTGTGTATAAGGTGACGCCGCACTTTCACATTGCACTAGCTGTCCTTACTGCTCACCGTGGCTGGTGTGTCTATAGTGTATACCAGGGAGTCGCAAAATACCGGTATTTTACGACTCCTGGTGTATACTCAGTATTACTCACTGTGGCTGGCGTGTCTGTATAATGTTTACACACTCTACTACACATAGCAGATGATGTGCAGGGCAGAACCTGTAGACCTTCCTCAGTGAATCCCAGCATTGACCTGGTAATAAAACAGAGAGGTTCCAGGCTGTCCAAGAGAGTGCTCATTACCGACAGGCAGAGCCAGTTCGAACAATAAGAGGACGGAAACAGTGTTTTAACTCTGAGTTCCACGCACTAAGCGATCATCAGAAAACTGTTTTCTGATGATTGTTTAGAAACTCGGAGTTAAAACACTTTTCCGTCCTCTTATTGTTTGAACCTGATAATATGTTTTTACCTTTTACGGGTGACTGGAACATGAAACGATGTGGGTTTTACTTCCATGCCGCCAGTACCAGTCGTCCGTGGGGCAGGGTTGATAAGGGTGTTCCCACATTCGGTATCTCTGGTCTGGGCGGTGTTTTTGGGCCACCAGGTCAAGTCTGCGATGACAATCGCAAGTTGCATGTACAGTGAAACAACGTAAAGAAGAACACTGATAAGACAAGAACACTGATAAGACAAGAACACTGATAAGACAAGAACACTGATAAGACAAGAACACTGATAAGACAAGAACGCCGATAAGACAAGAACACTGATAAGACAAGAACACTGATAAGACAAGAACACTGATAAGACAAGAACACTGATAAGACAAGAACACTGATAAGACAAGAACACTGATAAGACAAGAACACCGATAAGACAAGAACGCCGATAAGACAAGAACACTGATAAGACAAGAACACTGATAAGACAAGAACACTGATAAGACAAGAACACTGATAAGACAAACATTTGCTTTAGAAGAACTAGTGTCCGTAACTCTCTGACAAGTCACTGTGTATCCACTGGGTATATAATATGGATAAGAGGAACTCACGTCATGGAGAACAAAATACGATTGATCCCTTGGTGTTCGTCCTAAAGACGTTCCACTGGATAATACTGACCACGGACCACAGAGAGCTTCCTAGTAGAGGGTCTAAACGCACATCACTTCAGCAGAGTGCACGCACGCGTGCTGGGCTGTTGTAAGGAATTTGGAGAGGAAAGGTCACGTGCGCTCTAATCTCCTGTGTTGCACTGTCGCCTTTCTGTTTCTTCAGCACATCAGCGTGCCAATGACCAGTGCATGCAAGTACAGCAACGCAGTGCTCCACCAGTGTTCCGGGATGAACCACCAGTCAGCCTGCCATCCAGAGCTTGGACGCAAGGAGGAGGAATCCTTCAGCGCAATGAGCACCAGCGACAGCGCCAGCAGATACACTCGTTTGACCAACTACAGCTAGGTACAGACGAGCAGCAGGCAGAATCCCAGCAGCAGGCACAACCCCAGCAGCAGGCACAGTTTACCTACCCGGCGGGTTCGGAACAGAACGGCCCCCTTGGCATGACAAGCTCATATCTAGAGCACAGTGGAGTCCCGATCAACTCTGACCTAAATCACAATGGCGGTGAAGTTATCGAATCTTCTCCAGTCCTCGCTGTTCCACCCAGCGCATCCTTGAGTGTGTATTTAAACCAGTACACACATTCACGTGTTCAACAACAGCCTGAGCATACTACTCATCAAGACCAGCAGTCACGACCAACAGTGCGGGTACTTCCCATACAACCAGTATCATCACTCCAGACGCATGATTCTATCTCGGGTGCAACCGGCATCCAGGTGACGAATGGCAGCAGGTATAGCAGCCCACCACACGAGTACACCAGCGGAGCATCACACGAGTACACCAGTGGAGCATCACAGTTACCCACACAAATCAGCTCCGCTGAGCACAGACCCGGACCTCAGAGTCTACAGAGCTACGGTGGTCAATCACTACAGTACGATTCGCTACACCTACCGCAAGTACCGCTGCCGTTGGCAACACCTTCGCCTCTGCCACCGCCGTCAATGCCCCTGCCATGTACACAACGCCATCCATCGGTGAGCAGCCAGGAAAGTGGAGAGCCACCGACCGGATCGCCGATTGATGAAGCCGGTCCCCTGAGCATGGATAACTAACAGCCATTCTACGCGTGGACGTTCTTCTTGCTCAGTCCCAGAAGAAGTAATGCCTGGTGTGTGCAGAATGATAATCTCCAACTTCTTCGCACCTGTCCCGGTTCCTCTTTAGATCTTTCTCAAGTGTATCTCCGTTTCCATCGCACAATCTGAACATTTCGGAATGAGGTAAAGAGAAAGTAGCATCAATAACCATTCCTGCTTACCGCTTAGACCTGTGACTATAGCCATACTTAGACCTGTGACTATAGCCATACTTAGACCTGTGACTATAGCCATACTTAGACCTGTGACTATAGCCATACTTAGACCTGTGACTATAGCCATACTTAGACCTGTGACTATAGCCATACTTAGACCTGTGACTATAGCCATACATTGACTACGCAGCGGTTTCGTCATTATTGTCAATCATTGCCTCCCACCGCTTAGGAGCTGCATCTGCGCCTTGATCCTAGAGGGTGGTGGCGTTCATGTGGACGCGTGAAACTCCAGCCGAGTTTCACGCGAACCGCTAATTTTTTTGCCAGCAGCACAGCCCTCCTAAGCCCTACCGATCTTCTCATGATTTATATCTTGCCAAGTAGTTGTTCTAGGGCTTGGTCGTAGATCACCGTGGTGACACACCCTCTGACCAACACAGGATGTGTCACCGTGGAAACATACCATCTGACCAACGTGAAACACAGGGTGTGTATGACCGTGTTCCATTTCTGTGATCAAACATGCTTTCAGTTTGCGCTCGCATCGATTTCAATAACAATGTCACCAGTGTGCGCATGTGTGTGCATGTGTGTGCCTGCATATCCAGTGCGCATGCTCATCAATTTTACGCCTGCACGTTGATGCCATGTTGTCAAGATGGCAAACTGTGAACTTGCAAAATATAGAACAACTTTGTCCTTGCCGCTTGCATCTGCTTTGCGTTCACCAGCATTCAACACCGTACATAGTGCTTCGACTGCTGCTTCACATTCAGTGACCTTTTTCCTTTTTTTCTTTTTGAAACTAGTCACTGTTTTCCAATGCTCCTGCTGTATTTTACTGACTTCTTTCCGGCAGAGCACTAACAGGCGACGGTTTTGATTGAAAAGCTCAATCTCTTCTAACAGTTCATGTGCTGCAGTTGCACTGAGAGTGTCGGCATTTCCAGTCAAAGAATCACTGCGTATTGGCACTTTGATTCCCAGGTGCATAATTATGCACTGTCTTTGCAATAACTTGAAGTTATGACGGGTTGGTGGTGGTGGGGGGGGGGGGGGGGGGCAGCAGAAAAGTGCGAGACCGGGTCGGGTGGTTTGGGAGATGACCTGATGGTTCACAGGATGACATAGTCCTATGTACATCAGTGACGTCAACGGGGATAGTCTCATCATGTCTGGCTGAATCATGGAATGGAATGGAAATGTTCTGGAATCCTAGGATTCCAGAACATTTCCATTCCATTCCATTCAAAATCTCAGCCAGAATCAAAACATGATCTAGCCTCATCGACGTCATCAGGGTCATGTGACGTCATCAGGGTCATATGACGTCATCAGGGTCATGTGACGTCATCAGGGTCATGTGACGTCATCAGGGTCATGTGCATGTATAGCACCAAGAGTTCATAACCCCCAAGAGTGTGCAACGGGCATAGACCCAGCGCTCGGCGAAATTCCTACATTACGTCATGCGCAGCTTGTCATCCGAGGTAAATTTAGGTTCTTTGCGATTTCTGGAAACTATACCCTGAACCGCTCCTAACTCAAGGCTGTAGCCTCGACTTTTCGAAGCTTTTTTCAAGACATTTCGGACGTATCGTACTTTCTCAAAAACAAACTCTTTCTCCAAGAATCCATGGACATCGCGCGCGACAGGAAGAAGTGAGGACGCTGTTAAAAATATTGCATTGCCGTCGAGGACAATCATTCTGATAGCTGTGCAACTCAGCCGAATAATGTTCCTTCGAAGACGACTTCAAATGGTTGACTCCCGGGAACTTGAGAGAATACGTCGAGGAAAGCACCGGAAATATGCCGATGGCCTGGGGAAGAAATTGTTCTTGAAGAGACTGCCTGCACTGGTGAAAGAAGAAGGCGATAAAGAGTCACCATTGCATCGAAAAAATAAATAGTTTTGTCTTTAGGATCGTGTGCTTCGTTTCACTTTTGCTTCTTGAGGCTCAGACTCAGACTAGAATCGCAGATTAGGCAGTTTACCCTGGGGAAGCATCCTGGTTTGACTGTAAATTTTAGAAGAATTCATCGGTGTGACTCATCGCACTGCACCAAAAATGACGCAATGAAGGAATTCCGCCGAGCGGGCTTCCATACAGGGACTGATCAGGAGTTGCACACTCTTGGGGGTTATGAACTCTTGATAGCACGGTTCCGCTCGGAGGGGATTATGAAAGCTAGGGGGAAATATCCGTAGATCACCTGAAAAGGGTGGTCTATGACTATGCACACTAGTAATAGGACACGGTCATGTAGATCCTCAGTGACTCGTACCGGTACTGTATAGTCAGACCTCGCATAATCGCACACATCCATTTTTTAGAAAACATATCCGGATAGGCGAGGGAACCGGATAATCGAACACACATTTGTATTGTATGCATGACCTAAGCTGTAAATCGGTAACCAACGATTTTCTTCCGGATGGTGAGGGATCCGGATAAACGAGGTCTGACAGTACATGGAATGATGACCAGTTGACCAGGGCATGGTTCATTGGTTGACATGCACGGTATACCATGGTATACTACAGTCATGATTGTAGTGCTACTACTTGTACTAGCTGAGCCCGAGCTGATGAGTTTCGTGTTGGGTCACTGTTTGCAGCTACATGTACATGCAGTGCTGGCACCTGAAATCCGACCCCCTTGGCGGCACGCCGCCCCGCCAAGGGGGTCGGATTTCTCAGTAGTAGTAGATCTACATGACAGTTTGAGAGCCGGGCGCTATCGCACTAATGACTATGAATACTATGATTGTAGCAATTATTTTGTTCCATGCGGCCCGGATCCGGAATCAGCGCTTCATAAGTCACCGTGTGCACCAAGAAGCGGCGCGTCCATCGGTACCTTGACATGCTACTTGCTAGCTACTGGTCAAAGAAAATCTCAGATAGTATCCGCCATGGTATGGGACGATTAGTTGTACCGTTAGATTCGTGAATTGAGTTCGACAAATGGATTTTTCACAGGCAGCTGGACTCGACTGGGAACGTTGCACACCAGCAGGTAAATAATTTGTGTTGTAGTAGTGTTTGGGCTTATGGACTCTTGGGCGTATTTGGACGGAGGACTGGAATGGCTGTGAGGCCTCTGAATTCATCATGATGTTTGCCATTGTCATACAAACACACATCCAAGTGTAATTACCAATTGTCGAAATTGAAGAAAATTAATGAAATTACATCAAAATGAAAATAGAAATTAATCACGTGGTTTAGTTTCCCAATACTGTAAAAGCCATTATCCGAACGAGGAGTATACTGTAAAACCGGAAAATGTAACGTTTTAACGACCAATTATTTATTGTAATTTGAAGAAACTTTATCGCAAATCCGGTTTGGGATGTCTGTGCAAAGATGCGCATACAGATGGGTGGCCAGGTAGCCATCGTTAAAGGGGCACTCCGGCTTCATTTTCGACGCCGACTTTTCGATGCCAAGACGAAGGTTGGTGAAAGAGAAGACCCCTCGAACAAGAACGAGTCTCCAGAAGCGATCGAGTCGAGCAGGAAGACGACTTTTGAATTTCGCCGAGCGAGCGCTGATGACGTAATGAGGGATTAGCTTGCCAGTGGAAATGCATCTGCGCACATACATTTCACACACTTTTTGGCCAATTTTCAATCGAAGAGGAGGTTGTTTGCTATGTTCTCCCAACGTCGTGAGCGATCCCGCCTTCTATACCCTTCCAGGTACCCTGAAGGTCCTCCAGAGGAGAAATTATCTCCAGCAAAGCGTTGTTGATCCGCTAAATTCGTCTCGAAACATATTCACCCAGTGCAGTGCTGATAAATGTAGAATGTTGAATCTGTGATAATTGTCGACGATGGAGAGAGAGGTTGATAGCCGCTGTCGCAGGGAGAGTGAAGCTGCTGGAAGTAACAACGGGGAGCCCGTTTGTATCACCTGAACAACCAGACTTCAAAGTAGCTTGACCAAATGGGAGGGCCTCGTTGCTTATCGTGAATATTACACCGACATGAATTACTACAAGTGTACTGGTGAGTTTTTATCTTGTTTTGTTCTTATGCTAGTACTCTGGCCTGGAGTTGTCGTTAGCAAATTCCTATTCCCTGGCGTTTTCTAAGCATTCCGTGTAGTACTGAATACGTGAACAAGTATTCCGATTTGGGTAGATGTGGAATTTGGACATGTATTTTATAAAAAAACTTTCCAAATAGAGCGTTTGTAGAGAAATGGTTGCCCAAATACAACAAAATTGATTCTGCAGTTCTACAACTTGTACTGAAATCCTGTCAAAGTGAAAATGATTCTTCATGACAGTTGGGGTCAATGAAATCTGATCCAGGCATAACGAATGGTGACGCCTGCCACCCCGGGAACGAATGCCCATTTGGTGGGGGATACCAAAGTACTCGAAAGTGGTTCGTGTTTCAATGTGGCATTTGGAAGTTCTATCTCTGGTCAATGCAACATACGATAGCCATCATGAATTGCAGGCCTCAAACGCAACTCAGACCAGAATTGGCAGTTCCCTAAGTTAGATGCTTTATAATTCCATGGCCCCAGCTGTAGTTATAGAGGTTTTTTTGCACGTTATTCTTATACTCGATAGGTTTATACTGATGGCCATAAACAATGGCAGTTCAAACTTCACTTATGTGTTCATGAGTTGAGAGATTTCTCTCCACTATTTCTGTTGTGCACACAGGTCTGTCCAATATGCATTGACCGTATTGGGTATGGTATCTGCTCTGAGAAGAGAATCGCTGGAGCCACAGTCCAACTATACAGGCTTTCAAGAAACAGAGAGGAGCCACCTTTGCAAGCTGATACCTGATGTGTACCGACAGAATTCTCACGAGATACCATACGGACTACGTCTGGTGTATACTTCATAGTACTCCTTCGACTACTGTCTAGAATCAAGTCGACTGAAACAAGTTCAAACAACTCTGGCTTCAAACGAGCCGTCGGTTAGACAAACAAAACATTCTCTCATATACCAGAGCACTCTGACAACTCACAACCTATTCCTCACGATTACCACCGCTTATAAATATGTAGAGTGCTGATTGGAATGGGCTCACAATCTCAACAATTCATTGCTATAATTATTTGAACAATATGTTAGAAATTATTCCACTTTTCCTTCCATAAATGTTGTATCCACATATAATCCACAGTCCTGCAAAGTTTCAGAGTTCTCAGGGTATCAAACTAATTATTTCAAATACAGTGAAATTGTTCGCGGACATTATAGCGTAACTTGTAGTTCCCTGGTCCTTTTCTTTGCTATAAATCAATCCTTTGCTCTCTAGCCGCCGGCGAGTCCAACAGTGAAGTTGTTAGTTCATATTTATAATGGGGGGGGGGGGTTGAACATATTTCTATATAAGGGACCTGCAACTGTAATACCACAGTACAGTAGCCGGCAAATATGTAGAAAACTGAAATGCATGATCCCATCATTGTACATGGACGGGCGCAGCAGGCCGAAGCTATCAGCCAGAACAGGATTTACAATCATCTAGAGATACTTGAGCTATTCCAGTATTCTCCGTGAGCTGTCCCATTCCACAATGTTTCATGCCACTATGATTGCTGGTAGTATCCATGTGCATAATTCCAAGACCATCTCGGATTCTTCAGCAATTTGTGCCACGGCAAAACGCTTGACTCGGTCACTGGGGCTGTCAAACTTCACATCACAAATGAACTTCAATTTCTCATCTGGTTCAAGTATATGTACTGCCATGACTTGACCATGCTTCATCCACAGCTGGGCGAAGCTTGTGGCGTTGAATTCCATAGCGCACCTTCTTGCTGCCATGCAGGAGTATGTTGAGAGAAGTGAACATATTTTTACTAAAAACAACAGCGACTGAAGAGGATAGCAATAGCCTTGGGTGAATTTCCGGCAGGTACACGTTGTTGGTAGGTCTACTGGTCGGTCTCCATATTGTCAAGTTCAGAAATCACCTGTACTACACATCTTGTAGAAGAGATCCTGATCGAATAATTTTCTGGTCAAAAAATTCACAGGCTAAACTGAGGGCGAGACAAATAGTCAGTACGAGACTCGTACTCCCCGATTCCGTCAAGCTGCTTTGAAGTCTGGATGCTCATGTGATGCTAACAAGCTCCCCGTTGTTACTTCCAGCAGCTTCACTTTCCCTGCGACAGCGGCTATCAACCTCTCTCTCCATCGTCGACAATTATCACAGAATCAATATTCTACACTTATCAGCACTGCACTGGGTGAATATGTCTCGAGACGAATTTAGCGGATCAACAACGCTTTGCTGGAGATAAATACTCCTCTGGAGGACCTTCAGGGTACCTGGAAGGGTATAGAAGACGGGATCGCTCACGACGGTGAGAGAACATGGAAAACAGCCTCCTCTTCGATTGAAAATTGGCCAAAAAGTGTGTGAAATGTATGTGCGCAGATGCATTTCCACTGGCAAGCTAATCCCTCATTACGTCATCAGCGCTCGCTCGGCGAAATTCAAAAGTCGTCTTCCTGCTCGACTCGATCGCTTCTGGAAACTCGTTCTTGTTCGAGGGGTCTTCTCTTTCACCAACCTTCGTCTTGGCATCGAAAAGTCGGCGTCGAAAATGAAGCCGGAGTGCCCCTTTAAACTTTCTGCACGCTATCATGCCAAAATTAAAAAAACGGCAAACGTTTTGGTCGTTAAACTTTCCGGTTGCACAGTATAATAGCGATTTCCTAAAATTGACCGGTTTACGTGTATCAAAGGTAACAACTCTGACTTAGTCTCAACACTCATTAGCAACAGTGTAAGTATCGATTTCTGTGTAACAATTTCTATTCAGTAACAACAGATTTCTCCTGGTTAACTCGTTAGAATTATCACTTCGTTATAATATAAATATGGCTTTTACAGCACACTGATGGCTCTCTTATCCAGGTGGTCCTGGACTGGGTACTACCCATACCTAACTTGGAAATGTCCGATACTCAGAATCACATAACGTAAAAGCCCGTAAACACACCCGCCCGGTATGACATCCACTACCCGCGTGTCAACACTCTTGTCCCATTTTCTAGCCCGGGCCACCTCCGTGTTAACGCCCATGGGCGACAGCACAGGCTAACTGTTAGTACCAAGAGTCCATAACCCCCCAGAGTGTGCAACTCGTGATCCTTCTCAGCACAAATCAGTGCCGCAACGAAATCCAAATTTCATACGTCATGTAGTGAGTAGCTATGACGAAATGGGAAGTTTGGCCCGGACCCACTTCGCCCGTTTGCCCAATTTGGGGTCTTTACGAATCCACGGCCAGGTATTGTACGTAACACGCCTGGAAAGGCTCAAGTACACAAAGAATTATTTTAGAGTTGTCGAACAGTTTTCTCTTTTGAGTGTCTCTCCGATAACAGAAGAACAATGGCCACTGTTGAACCTAAAGCAAAGCGCTCCCCATTGTCGCCGGAGTGCAGTGTCTCTGTGGACGATATTCCTCAGTTTTTGCTCGATCTGGGCTCCTCATTTTCTTCTCTCGATTGTCGAGTGTTGGAAATTGTTAATTCTTCCAGCACCTGGATAGAGATTTATTGCTCGAAGTCTGTGCTTCTCACATGCAATGGAACACCCGAACTCTCCCAATACAAGCTTTTCAGACAACGAGCAGAGAAACTCTCTTCAAATAAAAAATTCTGTGACTGTGAAATCAAAGCCGTTCTGCTGACACTGCATAGCCCGTGGAGCAAACGTTTTACGTGACACTTCCGTGGCTTGCTTCAAAGCAACCTTCAACTTGGAACCCCCGCCGGATGTACCAGATATGCACATGGCCCCATCCGCCCATGCTTGCCCGGGGACCGGATGACGCAATGTTTGGATTTCGTTGCGCCAGACCCCAACCTGGAGTTGCACACTCTGGGGGGTTATGGACTCTTGTTAGTACACAGAGCAGTGCATGCACAGCTCCACGTGTATGTACTGTACCGTAGTATAACTATGGTGTACAGTACACAGAGCAGTGCATGCACCGCTCCGTGTGTATGTACTGTACTGTAGTATAACTATGGTGTACAGTGCACTGTACTAACCTTATACGTACTGTCGTGGACATGGAAATCCGGTCGCACGTCTAGCGGCCCCGGGGCGCTGGCCAAGCAGCCGTCAGTACGCATACCGGTCCGTTCACACATTATGTATGCGCTGCAGCGCGCTGTTCGCATCGGATCATGATGTGCACTTGCACTGCTTGCAATGACTACATGTACATCGTGTACGCGCAGTGAGGGCGCCGGCCCCGGTCAATCGACTGGATTTCCATGTCCACGACAGTACGATGTACATGTACCTTAGATAAAAGTAAGTAAATTATCGTGTCCGTTCCCGGAGGGAACTCACGACGGCCGCGAACACCCCGTAAACCCTAGCGGCAGATGCAGCGTCTAACGGTGGGGGTGAGTGGATAAGTCTCACAACCACTAGCACAAGTGCCGGGGAAGCCCCAATAGCTGCATCCATGTACCGCTTGTGCCTGGACACAAGTTCCCAGTTGACTGTGGGTTGCAGCCGCTTTCTCATGCATACCTTGCCACTTTTACACTTCTACCTTCCGCACACACCAGCATCCACAGCTAATCTACACTCCTCTATCTCAAGTCAATCACATCTGTATCACCTGTATCAGGTCAAGTCCATCTCACCTGTATCACCTGTATCAGGACAAGTCAATCACACCTGTATCACCTGTATCAGGTCAAGTCAATCACACCTGTATCACCTGTATCAGGTCAAGTCCATCTCATCTGTATCACCTGTATCAGGTCAAGTCAATCACACCTGTATCACCTGTATCAGGTCAAGTCCGTATCACCTGTATCAGGTCAAGTCCATCACACCTGTATCACCCGTATCAGGTCAAGTCCATCACACCTGTATCACCTGTATCAGGTCAAGTCCATCACACCTGTATCACCTGTATCTGCTTACTACACTTCCTTGGCACTACTCCACCACCGCTGAGAGTTGCTTCAAAGTATTCCCACCCGCACCATATCACCTATCTCATCACCACCAACTCCTTATCAACTCGTACTACCACCCACAGCCCTCCGGTCTTCATCCGCTGACGATGTTGTTCAGAACGAGGAGAAAATGATTGTGCAAATTTCTTACTTTGCACCACTCTTGGTCAAAATTCGAAGGTGGATTTTCTAACTCAAAAGTACAATGAGAGTGGCCAGTCAATGACTCATCCATCAACTTTTGTAGCTGTGAACACATACCTTCCATGTCGAGAGCATACTTGAACTACTGGACTGTGCACCTGTTTGACTAAAGGCCTACGATTCCTTCCGTTTGCAGTTTTACAGCCATCGTGAACAATGCGAAAGCTTCCAGATTACAAAGGTTACCCGCTTACTAGTATCTCTACCTGATAGAAGTATAATTATGCTGATAGAAGTATAATTATGCTGGTACTGCAAGTAGAAGTATAATTATGCTGGTACTGCAAGTAGAAGTATAATTATGCTCCGTTTGTGAACCGTTTGCCTGTGCCGACTCCGTGTATAACAGGCTCGGGCTCGCCAGTATGCACAGGTATACTTTGAAACCACTTCGGAGTCGACTGAAATTTGAAAAAGTGTGAGATACCAAAATTTAGTCAACTCCACTAATGCCGAACTTGCATATTGCGAATTTCTCGACATTTTTGTGAGGATGTATTAATGAATCTGCCGCAATAATTCCTCGTGTTCTGGCCTGCGCAATGAATTAAGATTTTAAATTTTAAATTTCCTGGTCCACAACAATCAAATTACAGGAAGCAGAACCGAGCCGCGAGCGCGGTGAGCAGTTTTTGATCAAGCTGCGACGTGGAAGCTGGTGCAGCCCCGGCAGCCCAGCTCGAGCTGCGGTCACTATGGCAATGAGGACGTTTCATCTCGCACGTGACGTGCCGCGGAGCAGCGGAGCTGCAGTGGAACCCGGCCCTTAGTGTATCATGTGTGCAGGGGCGTCGCACACGATACGGTCACTACGGTATTGACCGTACCACTATTTGACCCAAGCACCCCGTGAATCAATAAAATGCACGGATTTGGGCTCTCAATTTCCAAAATTTTCGGCTCAGCCACCCCTCACCCACGAGTAAATTGTACTTCAGATGGTTGACCGTACCACACTAAATTACCTTCCGACGCCGCTGGTGTGTGTTATGTGTGTCAATACCCTGCAGTGAATCATGTGTGTGTGTTATGTGTGTCAATACCCTGCAGTGAATCATGTGTGTGTTATGTGTGTCAATACCCTGCAGTGAATCATGTGTGTGTTATGTGTGTCAATACCCTGCAGTGAATCATGTGTGTGTTATCAGGGCCGTAGCAGGCGGTCCGGCAGGTCCGGCAGCTGCCGGACCAATATTCGGCCAAAAAAAAAGAAAAAAGAAAAGAAAAAGGGAGCTCACAGATGTGAGCATGCAGTACAGCTCAGGATGTCCACCCGGTACCATTGAAGGGGATGTGTGCAATAAGTAGTATAGAGGTAGTAGCTAGAGTAGAAATAGTAGTGCTGGTAGTAGACCTACATGTCATCAGGAGTATGACCCTGCTGAAGGTCATGTGGACAGTCATGCCTGTGAATGTTCCTACACTGTACTTCCTGAAATGTATTGATTCTTTTCTTCCTCCAATTCTTTCTAGATAGGGTTTGTACCAAAGATATTCCATTGCAATATCCTTTCTCCTCCTCCAAAGGTCCATTTTGGTTCTTTTATCACATGCATTTAGATACGGTAGCTATGCCTTCATAATCTTCAACAAGTTCTGTTTGGACGGATACAACATGCTGATGCCCTTTTTCCTGACTCATGCCGCGAACGTCCTTCTTCCTTTTCTCGTCCTATGTCACTCTGCATGGTCACGATTACATGCATGTACATGTACATTGTACATACACGTACAATCTTCGCGCTATGATCCAAGCTTGCAGCCTATATCAATCTTATCTTCTGAAAATTGTAGTCAAGTTGCTGTCTGATGATCGGTTAAAAACGTGAAACTCAGAGTTACAGAAGAAACGCTTTTCGTCCCTCTCAAGTGTGTACGTGTATGTACTATGTACATGTATGAGTATGGGCTCGGGGGGGGGGGGGGGGGAGCATCGAAGTCGTATCTTGCCGGACCAACCCAAATGGGGCTGCTACGGGCCTGGTTATGTGTGTCAATACCCTGCAGTGAATCATGTGTGTGTTATGTGTGTCAATACCCTGCAGTGAATCATGTGTGTGTTATGTGTGTCAATACCCTGCAGTGAATCATGTGTGTGTTATGTGTGTCAATACCCTGCAGTGAATCATGTGTGTGTTATGTGTGTCAATACCCTGCAGTGAATCATGTGTGTGTTATGTGTGTCAATACCCTGCAGTGAATCATGTGTGTGTTATGTGTGTCAATACCCTGCAGTGAATCATAGCACACACGCCGAGGATGAGCAACACCGATGGAGGAACAGTATCCCAGTTTGCAGGTAGGTGGGCCAGTAACGCTGTATAAGCCCATTGCACAATGACGTAATTTGTACCATAAACACACCAGACAGCCACCTGGGCATGGTCGTCTGGGGGTGTTGAACACAGTGCATTCCTGATCCCAGTGTACTCACATGCATTACTCGTACCTCCATATTTGGCAATGGGCTTATTGCATTGAAGTCAATTGTCTGCTGCAGCCTAGTGTCGGCTGGCATGTCTCTCTTCAGGGCTCTGAACGACGGTGGCTAGGACGAGTTGACCGCAATCTGTCAGCTTCACTTTCTGTACTCATGACTTCCATAGAGTAATTTTCGTGCAACAGCACATCTTCTCCAGGCGTCAGGGGCCCAGCCTCCCCGCCCATCCGACTCGCCACACACAACAGCGCAACTGAACTAAAAGTTCTACATAATAATTATCTTGACAAGACGAATACGGACACGACAAGGCAAAACTGATAACTAAAGAAAAGGGCAAACATTGCAGCAGCATATAATGAGCATGCGCGCAAAATAATGTTGCACGCGCGACAATGACGTAAGTGTTCCATGGTGTAGACATGTACAGAAGACTGCACATGCAACCAAAACAATGCAACAAAGTCAAGCCTAAACCACTGCGAAATAAAACTAAAGAACAACATAAATAAGCCATGAAAAGTCTTTCACTCTAGACCCGTTGCGCAACAGTAATAGATAGTAGCTCCATTAGCATTCTTCTCTCTACAATGCAACTGACGGTCAATACAGGCTTTCACTTGGTGCAGGGTGTGGCAATGTGTCCGGTCAATACAGGATTTCACTTGGTGCAGTGTGTGGCAATGTGTCCGGTCAATACAGGCTTTCACTTGGTGCAGGGTGTGACAGTGTGTCCGGTCAATACAGGCTTTCACTTGGTGCAGGGTGTGGCAATGTGTCCGGTCAATACAGGCTTTCACTTGGTGCAGGGTGTGGCAATGTGTCCGGTCAATACAGGCTTTCACTTGGTGCAGGGTGTGGCAATGTGTCCGGTCAATACAGGCTTTCACTTGGTGCAGTGTGTGGCAATGTGTCCGGTCAATACAGGCTTTCACTTGGTGCAGGGTGTGGCAATGTGTCCGGTCAATACAGGCTTTCACTTGGTGCAGTGTGTGGCAATGTGTCCGGTCAATACAGGCTTTCACTTGGTGCAGGGTGTGGCAATGTGTCCGGTCAATACAGGATTTCACTTGGTGCAGTGTGTGGCAATGTGTCCGGTCAATACAGGCTTTCACTTGGTGCAGGGTGTGGCAATGAGTCCGGTCAATACAGGATTTCACTTGGTGCAGTGTGTGGCAATGTGTCCGGTCAATACAGGCTTTCACTTGGTGCAGTGTGTGGCAATGTGTCCGGTCAATACAGGCTTTCACTTGGTGCAGTGTGTGGCAATGTGTCCGGTCAATACAGGCTTTCACTTGGTGCAGGGTGCAGGGTGCAGGGTGCAGGGTGTGGCAAGCACAGGTTTTCCTGTACATGTAGCTGTGTGGTTTTTCCCCTGCGGTGTGTCTACAGGACATGACGGCGGTGGTGGGAATCGTCACTCGTCACTATTACATCACCTCTCCATCAGTGAACCTGTTAATGTGTGGGACTTGCCAGAAATCCAGAAGTACAAGAAGAGCTTGGTCAGGAAACTCTTTCCATCAACCATACGGCTGGCTTGCGTCTCGTGTGGCCTTATCAACAACGATCAACAGAAGATGCTTTTCATGGTCGAAGAGGACAGTGCCAAGCACAATGAGCGGTTGTTGAACTACATCTATCCAAGCGGGGACAATCTTGATCACTTCCAATTGTTCATTAACCAATTAGAAGGCCCCTACTTTGAAGCGATCAAGGACAAGTTTCAGGAAGTCAAGGATCGACTTCAAGATGAGAAGACGGCAAGGATCCAGCAGATAGGTAAGACCTGACAGCATTGGTCCGTCCATAAACATGCCATATTTTGCGAAATTACTTCCGGTCTTCTATTACTGTCTATCTGAAATAAATGCAATATCATTTCAAGGCTTTCGTGTGGATGTTTTCAAATTGGGTGAAATTTTAGGGCTAGCAAACTACTTAGCGCCTCTACCAGCATTGCTGAGAATACGGTAGGCCAGGACCGTAGCACCGAGTCCAGCGAGTCCGCCCATGGTCGGAGCGGTTTTTGAAAAATGTTGACGCGCCCAATTCGTGAAAAGCGGGAGTTTATAGCGTCCGTTTCTGATCAGGTACCCCATATGCCATGGCTGGACCACCTGAACTCCCGATGCTACTGCCCTATACGTATGCTCAGCACAGTATTGCATCCGTCATTGTTCCTGCCCATATGAGCAGTTAGCCAGACAACATAAGTTGACGAAAGAAATTTTGGAATCTCGATTTCTCTTAACGTGAAATTGTCGCGGATTCACCTGTATTGTATTCACAGTATTTCTAATGGTAAAAAAGGAGAATGATAAAATGTTACGAGTTATGACTAACTATCTACCAACGTAACCAGATCATATACAGTCAGCGAGTGCGACAAAATGGCACAAAACTGACAAGGAATCATGCTAAGACTTACAGCGACCTGACACCTAGCTCCAACACTTCACCTCAATACAATGCTGACTGTATATGATCTGGTTACGTTGGTGGACAGTTCGTCATAACTCGTAACATTTTGTCCTTCTCCTTTTTTACCATAATTAAATTGGCTCACCATTCGAGTTCAACTATTTCTAAATGTTTTAATTTTAGCTGCCCAGACTAAGTCTGTCGATGTTTTATAAATGTGCTGTAAACACACGCAACATTGCAAGTACTCATGAAACTTTCACACAAGTTCTCGTGACGTTCGCTATTTTAAATCCACACCCCAAATATTTAAAATCCAATCTTCAAGTGTAATATTTTGTATTGTGTGTATCTAGAATACACTGTAGTAGCTGCCTGTCGACATGTGTGCGCTGCTTCAAAAGATACTCTATGCGTTTCTGATACTTTTAGATGCAGCTGAACGCTACTATGGTATATGGGCAGCTGGCTCAGCTCCAGCATCACAAAATGGCATTTATCAGACATCAAGGTTGGGTCCTGCCTTACCTAACTCTGCACAAGCAGCAGCAGCACCACCAGGAGCAGCACCACCACCAGCACCAGGAGCAGCAGCACCAGGAGGAGCAGCAGCAGGAGCAACAGCAGGAGCAACAGCAGGAGCAGCAGCAGCACCACCAGCAGCAGGAGCACCAGCAGGAGCAGCAGCACCACCAGCACCGCCAGGAGCAGCAGCAGCAGGAGCAACAGCAGGAGCAGCAACAGCACCAGCAGCAGCACCAGGAGCAGCAGCACCAGCAGCAGCACGAGGAGGAGCTGCAGCAGCAGCACCAACAGTAGCAGCACCAGCAGCACCAGGAGCAGCAGCACCAGCAGCACCAGGAGCAACAGCAGCAGCACCAGCAGCAAGAGCAACAGCAGCAGCAACTGCAGGAGGAGCAACAGGAGCAACAGCACCAGGAGCAGCAGCAGCAGGATCTGGTGAAAACGAGTTAGATTCTGGAGCACAGAGACATGGAGAGAGACAAGGTAATGCTTTTGTGCAAGATCTGTCCAATTATGGCAGCTACAGTGCACCTGTATAGGAGGTGCTAAAGCAACTTGACTGATAGGTGTTTCTTATTGTTTGCAAGGCAATCACTGGTTATGTAAAAAGCTGGGTGAGAAGTTGGTCTTGGGCAGAAGAAACAGGGGATTCTAAGGGGCCTGCAGCCTCCTTTCGAATATTAACATTTTTTTAAAACTTGTTTCGTGTTTCTCTTCTTGCAACATCCTGTTCGTAGATGGTTCGAGTCAGCAGCCATGTGAACTAGTGGTCAATAACCCGCCGCCGAGGAAAGAGCCTAGTTTGGCATTGCCCCCTGCAAGTGGAGACCTAGATGGACAGCAACGAGCGTCAGGAACAAAATCATATGGCCAACAACAGTACAGTTCTCCATTGGACGATCCTGAACTGATGTCAAAGCTCAGGAAGGTCATAATCAACGGTCGTAATCCCAACCGAACAATTCTTGCAAAGTTTCAGCTGCAGGTGCAGGGATGTATTTCCCACTTTGTCGGGCATAAACATGTCAAGCGTGTCCTGCCCCATGCATATTGTGATGGCATTAGAAAAACGTACCCCGACCCACACAAGCAAGCAGAGGAGCTAGTGGGAGAATGGACAAGAAAGGCACTATTCCACTTCTCCGCGGGCACCTTGATGGATATGCTGCAAGCAACCGGGTACGAACACGCGTTTTATGACAGCATCAAAGATGATGTCGCGTAGCCGTCATATCAGTAACTCGTACTAAGCTTACATAATTATTGAAGAAACTCTTCCTGTTAATACTGCTCGATTTCAACATGATAAACATTGGAAACTCTGCACCCAAAGCAGAGTGCCACAGCCAGGACTACCGACACCTCGACATTGCTTCATTTTCTTGCACACACTTCACTAGTACGCCGGCCTAATCTCCTAACACTTTGCAGTTCTCCCTTAGGTCCAAACTTGAGAATATGCCGCCGCCGTGATCGACAGTGTTGTCCATATTGCGTGCCAGACTCAGTGATTGTAGTGGATCGTTGGACTCCTATGGCTGTAGCTTACGGGTCTTTCAGCACTTGCGCCAGTGATCGTGAGACTTATCCATTCACCCACACTGCTGCGCGCTGGATTTGCTGCTGGTTTGAAGCGGGTGTTAGCTGCTGCTGTGAGTTTCATTGCAAAACGAGACACAAATTTTATCACTTTTAAAATAGGCTAATGACTATGTTTGTTGTATTGTGTACTCTGCTCTGCCCCCCCCCCCCCCGCGCCCGAGGTGTTTGTCGCGCTGGAAACAGAGCGTCACTGAAAGTTGCCATCTCTTTTGTGGCGTTTTGGCTCGCAGAGATCTACATAATGCAGTGCTCTCGGAACATTAATTCCATAAAACGTACTCAAGCTCAACTGATGAGAGACGAATTACCTGAAACACTGTGTATTGAGCAGGGAGTGCTGCTTTCTTGCAGGCTAGCCGAGTGGACGGTTCGGAATTCGGTGAGATGTACCCGGAGCCACAAGTCTCCGTGTGTGTCGAACACCCACGATAATAATTCTGCAGAATCTGATACACCTACCGTATGTCACCTATGTCCACTATGATGATCCAGTGTGAACGCACGACATCTGGGTGCTACGGATTGGCTGGAGATTGTCGCGGTCCTGCATGAGATCCCAGGCCTTGGCAACTCCCCCCCCCCCCCACCGGCCTTAGTGAACAGACTCAGTGCATGCACCGGTCCGTTGCAACGTTGACAGTACTGCGGTTACGTCATGCACTGTGTGGCTTGAAAGAAGCAAAGCAAGTAAACAGTAAAAATTACTAAAGCCAAAAAGGGAAAACGAAGTTTTAGTGTGTCATATTTTTGACTGATTGCTGCTCAAAAAATGACCACGGTGTGCTTTTATAACTGAGCAAAGTGATGACTTGTTGTCTTCCATTTCATTCCCGGCGGAAGAAGAACTGTGACTGTGTGTACACCTGCACAGTCGTATAGTTGAATCGTGCGCTCAGAGACCGCCCTGGATATATTATCCATATTATGCTGAAGGCAGTATGACTGTAGCGGTTGATCCGGAGATACACATCGTCTTTGCGACCTATATGTAGACGCTGGATGAAGAATTTCAGATGCATTTCTCACAGATCGACGTTAGCTGTTCCGATGATCACTTTGTTCGCTGAGTCAAGATCGATTCTTACTGCAATACTGGTGACGAGAACAATGCAAAGTCTTCCTGCCTGTGACTTGGAAGCTGGACAGGTACAGAAAGACAGGAGCCCAGCGGAATTTGATCTAAAACCAGTTATCTTGGCTGGTAAATTGAGCTCACAGCAGCTGTTTTACCAGCCGGAGTGGGTAAAGTGTAATGCTGATGTCGTGGAATTTTACGACATGATAATTATATCCTGGCCATTGTGCAGTGACTATAAGAATGAAAACATTGTCTTCCGTGGTCGGACATGAGCGAAGGACAATCATGTCAAATTCTGGACAAGATTGACGGGGCTATGGCGGCCGGTATTCCAATAGCCGTATTACTGGTGGCCTAGACTAGTCACACTGGAACAGATTCGATGCAGGAGAAATATGCAGTGTCTTTAGAGATCGCATGCCAGATCTTGGACATAATGGACGTGGCTATGGCGTCCAGCATTGCTCGGAGTCACATCAGTGGGGGCTCTCAACAGTCACACTGGCACAGATTGGATGCAGGAGAAGCATGCAGTGTCTTTGTAGAGTGCATGAACCTGGAGTCCAGGGCACGCAAAGCCGGTGCCCAGTAACACCTGACGTGAGGACATCGCCAAAGTCAAAACAACCAACCGTGTGAAGGTGAGCTGTGTTTAAAAAAACATGCTGCCAGGGTTTGGTTCTGCATAGACCTTTCCTCTCGATGGCACACAGTGGCATGATGTATATTATGTGTGTGTGTGTGTGTGTGTGTGTGTGTGTGTGTGTGTGTGTGTGTGTGTGTGTGTGTGTGTGTGTGTGTGTGTGTGTGTGTGTGTGTGTGTGTGTGTGTGTGTGTGAGTGTGTGTGTGCATGTGTGTGTGTGTGTGTGAGAGAGCGAGAGAGGGTTTGTTGTTGGGTTGGATTTGTCCTAATAGTAACGTTAAGGAGTTTACACATTCTCGCCTCTCGTGGGGTGGATAGACCGTTGGTCAAATTTGCATGAGCCGTCTGGAGTGACTGGAATTTTTTTGGAATTTGGCCAATAGAGGTCAAGCCCCAAAAGAGATTTAAAGAATAAAATAAGACCGTCAAGAGGTATAAAATGCTGATGGCAAGGAGATTGGAGCTTGTTGCACGAGTGTGTTAGGGTTGTGCAGTGGCTAGTATGCTTATCATTTTGCAAGGTTTTCTGGGTCGCAGGCCTACGGAAAGCGTATTGGGTTGAGGAGTAGATTCGAGGCACTCAATGTGCTGAAGCTTGATAGCAAGCGGTGTAGGTATTTGATAGCAAGCGGTGTAGGTATTTGATAGCAAGCGGTGTAGGTATTTGATAGCAAGCGGTGTAGGTATTTGATAGCAAGCGGTGTAGGTATTTGATAGCAAGCGGTGTAGGTATTTGATAGCAAGCGGTGTAGGTATTTGATAGCAAGCGGTGTAGGTATTTGATAGCAAGCGGTGTAGGTATTTGATAGCAAGCGGTGTAGGTATTTGATAGCAAGCGGTGTAGGTATTTGATAGCAAGCGGTGTAGGTATTTGATAGCAAGCGGTGTAGGTATTTGATAGCAAGCGGTGTAGGTATTTGATAGCAAGCGGTGTAGGTATTTGATAGCAAGCGGTGTAGGTATTTGATAGCAAGCGGTGTAGGTATTTGATAGCAAGCGGTGTAGGTATTTGATAGCAAGCGGTGTAGGTATTTGATAGCAAGCGGTGTAGGTATTTGATAGCAAGCGGTGTAGGTATTTGATAGCAAGCGGTGTAGGTATTTGATAGCAAGCGGTGTAGGTATTTGATAGCAAGCGGTGTAGGTATTTGATAGCAAGCGGTGTAGGTATTTATGTGTTTGTGTGGGAAGAAGTACAGTAAAACCTGGTTAAGGCGACCACCCTACGGTGCAAGCAAAAGCGGTCGTTAAAGCCAGGTGGTCTTTAGAACCAGGTCCCATACATTCGTGGTATATCAGATTATGCATACATGTGCATGATTGTACTTCCATGTACTCATATTGACAGGTGTGGAGCATAAAATAATCTCGTGCAGGCAAAGCACACCTCACTGGAGTGCATGCAGTGCATTCTGCACTGTCACTTGTCACTTCAGTTGACTGCATACACTTGCTTCAGAGCGCATGTCAACCCTGTTGCAGTCAACTCTGCCAGCCAAGATGGCACTTTTGGTTAGTTTTGGTCGCTGTGTGCAGGTCCAATAATTATGGCACTTGGTACACAAAAAGTCGGTCGCTGGTCGCGCAAGGCAGGTGGACGCTGTGTCCGGTGCAGTTTCTGTATAGAACTGTACGTGCATGGAAAGACGGTCGTTAAGAGCAGGTGGTCGCTAAAGACAGAGGTCGCTGACACCAGGTTCTACTGTGCATGTCCGTAATGTTATCGATCTTTTTCAAGCATTCGAAGGCTTGCTAGATGGGTCGTTGACACCTAGGTTGACCATCCAGGAGAGAATAGAATGAGTTCTGGAATGACTTAGTTTACAGGCATGTTTTCTCTGGCCTGTTCTGCTAATCCCCTGGCGATACGTGCTCTCGTCTTAGGTGCGTTGCCCGTCTGAGCTGAAGCAATGCGTGTGGCGTGTGAAACTTAGTCCAGCCGCCGGAGCTGTCTGTGTGTCGACTACCAGTATTGCGTCTGTTTGGACCTCTCCATGAAGGGGTAATGAATACAACTGACCCGGCTTTATATTCCAACCCACCTTGATTTTTCAATCTTAGCCTAGGGTTGAGGTTTGATATCAATAAATTGCACCACTCAATCCCCGGGCAGCCGTAGTACCCCTGCCTTGATTAGTTCAAATTCACGACATGTAGAAAAAAGATTCAGCCTAACATATCTACACGGCCACGGTTACTTTCCTAGGGCAGGGCTAATATGCAAGTGAACCAAGCTGCTGTTGTGTTCTTCTGTGTTGCATATTTCCCAATTATAAGATGTGTTTGTGTTGTTTGTGCTCCTTATTTGCAGCTCGTGAGCATAGTCAGCAGCTGGTGGAGTAGTTACCACTGTAATAGTACATCTAAAACATGTCAATAACCTAAAGGCATCAGATTCAACTGGTTAGTCTGAACACTGTCTCTGCTCCTCTCTCTCTCTCTCTCTCTCTCTCTCTCTCTCTCTCTCTCTCTCTCTCTCTCTCTCCCCCGCTATCTCTATCTCTCTCTGCTCCTCTCTCTCTCTCTCTCTCTCTCTCTCTCTCTCTGCTCCTCTCTCTCTCTCTCTCTCTCTCTCTCTCTGCTCCTCTCTCTCTCTCTCTCTCTCTCTCTCTCTCTCTCTCTCTCTCTCTCTCTCTCTCCCCGCTATCTCTATCTCTCTCTGCTCCTCTCTCTCTCTCTCTCTCTCTCTCTCTCTCTGCTCTCTCTCTCTCTCTCTCTCTCTCTCTCTGCTCTCTCTCTCTCTCTCTCTCTCTCTCTCTCTCTCTCTCTCTCTCTCTCTCTCTCTCTCTCTCTCTCTCTCTCTCTCTCTCTCTCTCTCTCTCTACTCTCTCTCTCTCTCTCTCTCTCTCTCATGCTCACTCTCTCCCCTCCCCTCTCTCTCTCTCTCTCTCTCTCTCTCTCTCTCTCTCTCTCTCCTGGGCCTGTACTACGCGCCACGTGCTTGGCGCTTGTCGCGTAGCGCTGGACCAGGGACGTTACACCTGGAGGCACGACAACGTACTCGGCGTCATCGTCAGGAACATGCGTGAGGAGATTCGAATCCGCACTGCTGCAAACACCGTACAAACCGAAATTCAAATGAGCTTGACTTCATCTCGTTTTGCAAGGCGGGAGAGAAGCCAGTTCGCGTTCAGCCCAGACGGAAGTCGCGTTCAGCCCAGACGGAAGTTGGTTACGACTGATCTCCTGTCGGCGGCCTCAGACTGGAAACTTCTTGTCGACTCAGTTAGTGCAAAGATTTCTTTCCCTAGCTGTGTTGCACTTACCACCCTAAGACCAGATATAGTTCTGTACTCTACGAGTCGTAGGATTGTATTCTGGATGGAGTTGACAGTTTGTGCTGAGGACAGATTCAGTGTCAGTAACTCGCGGAAGGACAGGCGGTATGCGGATCTGGCCGATCAATGCCGAGCAAACGGGTGGCAGGTCGTTTCTTTTTCGGTTGAGGTAGGTGTGCGTGGTTTCATCCCGGACTCTCTTCGGAGGGCTCTGAAAGCGCTTGGGTTTTCTAATCGAAGAATAAAATTTATTTGTAATTTGTGCAGTAAGACGTCTCTGCGAAGCAGCTACATCATCTGGTTGCGAC